ACCAGGGGCGGCTCCAGAGCACTGGGAATTGGGGGGTCCTATTCGTGAAGCGAGTCATTTGGGCGAAGATCACGATGCTGCACCAGTTTTACGAACAGTGAATGAAAGGTATTATGTGATAACATATACAGTTATTGTGCATCCTCTTTTGACACGTTTTTGCTATAATAGGCGGATCCAGGCGTCCAAAAAGGGGGGCTATGTTTTACCTCCCAACATAGGTGCCCTGACACCGCCTATGCATGACCAATACAATTGTAGTCATTCTCTCATAAAAAAATTGTAACATAACAAGACCATTACCACCCTTTTTAGAAACAGTACCAACAAAAACCTTATTTACTATACTTTTTGTGTACCCCCAATCTCAATGATCTGTATCCGCCTATGATTTTTGAAAATGCATATTTTTAGGATCCATGTGAATTCCTGGTTCATTCTCTATCGATTGGCAAAAGTTGCGTTAAGATTGGTTCAGAAACCTGGCCGTGATAAACAGTCTAAAATGTATCTGCAATTTGCCCGTTTTTACCCCCCTCTACCCCCCCTATTGACATTTTTTAATTTTTATTTTTTAGAAATGTAGATCACGTTGAGCGAAATCGAATGCCGTTTGAATTTTGAAAATCGGCCCGTTAGATCTCGAGATATCAAGGGGGGGTCGTAAACAGCCCCCCCCTGCCACTAATAGGGGGTAGCCAGGAGCCTGCCACTAATAGGGTTAAAGGACAATTTTTTCTGTATTGTTAAAGTCCATATCATGCTGAGGGCATGAGATAGGTTTCATAAAAAGATATGCTTATTTTCGGATGTCAATAAAACATGTTTTGCCTCATTGCAACTTATAGCTATACATTTCCCTACAGTTATTGCACATTTGCTTTTTTTTTGCACATTTGCAAGGTACTTTATTTTTTTTGCTTATATATATTCCTTTGTTTTTCACTGTCGCGAATCGTGTCACACCATTAGAAGTATGGCTGTCGGAGAGCTGCACCATCTCCCCACCCCAGCAGCGGCCGGTGACCCGTTCCCGGCTCCGTGCACGGTCCAGCGGCGACACAACAGTCAACAACGGGGCCGGACGGCCAGGCAACCGAGACGACCCCGCTCTCTGCTCCCGCTGCCTGATTTTCCTCAGCGGGCCGCCCAAATCACCAAATCGTGCCGAGCTCGTACCGTTGGGGCAGTGCTGTGTTAACCGTCTCATGTGAGGTGTGATGCTCAGACTGAGATTGGAGACCGAGGTGACGCTCGGTTCATAAAACGGTGCTCGAAACAAGACTCCGAGTGCATCTGAATTTAATTTTGATTTCCGCTGCGTGCGATCGTGTGGTATAGGTATCTATAACTGCCGGCACTTAGGCACCGCCAATCCTGAACCATGCAGCGCATAAATTCCACCGGACATCGTCTGTATCAAGTTTCACCTAAGTCAGTAATGTCATACCAAACCTAGGCGACAATTTATTTTTCTCACGGTCAGTATCGTCGAAAAAAAAAACAGGCAAAACAGGTGCTCTCTCAGCGAGTTCAGATCCTTGCATTAGAATGCGAACATAAGTCCCTAGATAGCATCTCCAGTCGATGCGTTCTCCGGACCGCTCTGAAGCCGCTCTCATCGTCGACCGGGATGGTGCGCCAGTTCACGCCATCTGCGCCGCGTCTGTCGCGTCACGGTCCAGCGCGCCGGAACTGCCGCAGTGGCGCGCCGCGCCAGGTCGCGCCGCTATCCACCGACCGGACGCGTCTCTTCCGTGGGCTGGACTGGGTGCCTCGCGCTGTGCCAGCCCGGGGACACTGTGGACAATGTCCCCGAGTTCGGAGCTGGTCCTTGTGGAGCAGTGTTTCTGTGTATGCTACTCCCAATGGACATCATCATAGTCCATCGATGAACTAGTTAGCGAAAGTATTACCTATGCGGTCGTGAACAAACGACATCCGTTTGTTTACCAGAAAGAATTCGGCTTTAATTTGGCATTGACAGATTCGCTCACCGTTGCGCAATTATTGGATAAATCTATTGATCAAATGCTTGTTACATTCAAATCCCATCTATCCGTTGGCTGACACTGTAAAGCTGCGTGTCTGGATGGAAATAGGCCTGGGAGCGCTGACGCCATTACCTGCGGCCCGTCCAATCAGACCGTTTGTTCTTCACGCTGGCCTGCAGTGCAGAACACACACCGCGTCGTTCGGACTTGGAACACCGCTCAGCGTGGAAACTTTCTGCCGTGTGTAGCCGATGGACATGGTCCCGGAGTGGTTTACGATCGCTGGTATTTCCTTTGGCTGAACAATACCTAACCACGGAGCTGGAGAGATAAAAGGATATATCTATGTAAAAGGATGGAAATGAAAGGCAACGCCGTATAGCTGAATTGATAATGGGTCCAAAGTTTCAATAACAGTAGTTTTAGCTTTCCCGGTTCATCGGTCGACACGGCCAACAATGCACGAGTTGACGGCGCCACCGTTTATATGCACCGCGGCGCTCAGCATTTCTAGCGCAAGTGGGGCGTAAAAATGGCCATGGCGTCATCGGTACCGCCAGTTACATGACATAGATGCGACGGCACAAGACCCATGAGGCCTTTAAACCGATATAGTTATCGATCGCTGTGCCTTTAGGCCTATCTATTTTATTTGCCCTCCGGTTTCGTCAAGTCACTTCGGTCTCTGCTGCTTTGCTCATCCTATCTCCATTATTTTGTTACGGTTTTCCTTTCCGTCCTCCCATTTCGTCCATCTTACTGAGAATTAAACCTCTCACAATGCACCTGGTCAGGCACACTTTGTCAGCACTCAGCACCCCCGGCGTCGCTTCTCTGTGCGACAGTTGTCACCTTGTCGACGGGCTCGTAGACAGCGAAAGTCGGTGAAATTGCACCAGATTGGTAACGCGTTGCGCAATGTGACAGTCGCAGGAAGTACCCATCTAAATGTGACAGAGCTGCGTCGGCAAAGGATCACTCGTTCGAAATAAATTGGCCAGTCGCGACACTTAGCCCGTTACTAGTCAGTCAACTGAGTTTTTGGCGAGGAACTGTCGATTTTCTTTTTATGGTCGCAAAGAGTGATGTTTATTGTTCTTTGCTTTTATCCAAATCGATAACGTGCAGTGAAGAATAAAGTCGGCCACCTCTTTTCATCTCCAGTCGTGCCCGGTCCGACTGAAAATCTCCTAGGCCTGCTCTCCATGAGGCGGCCAGTCAGCAGAAACTGCGGGCCGCTTTCCCACTCTGAACGCGCCGTGAAAGCCGTCTCTGGCTGTTCCGGCCCGGTCAGATGCCGTTTGCCACTGAACTCAGTCATGCCTGCAGCCCGCAGGCAGCCACTCGGCCTCGGGTTTGGCCGGAGTTTGAGACGGTGGATGGAGGTGGCACAGCGACCAGAACGGCAGTGATCAGATGCTGCGGGGCCGGATCCTATAAGCATGTTGTTTTAGTAGTTCGCAGAAGGCGTTTACCGCACCGGATCGGACATCGACTGTATGAGCCATCGCACGGGTGATGTTTAGGAAGTGGAGTTCTTGTGGAAATAATAATGATCATAAATTTTGTGCTTATTCGTGTATTTATTTAAACGTACAGCAACATCCACATTTGCAAAAAATGTCCACAAAAGTTCTTACTGCAAAATGCTTTTCCTACAATATAACATTACGAATCGTCAGCTAAATTACCACATGAAGCTTTGTTTTCCACCCTCCTTTCCTCGTCAATGCCAACCTCCCGTCTCAGCCGAGCAAGGTCAGCATCCCCTCTACCAGCGCCGCCGTGTCGTGCACGGCGTGTCTGGTCGGCGGGGGTCGCTCTCGGGGGCGATACGACACGGGGTCACACGGCTGCAGCCGCTGCGCCGACCCCAGCACACACCCCTGGCACGGTCCGACGGGGTAGCGGGCCCACTCAGCACCGAACAGCCATTCGAGCGGCGAGCAGGTTGGGTCATATGCTGCTAGGCAAGCTAGCGCGACTCGCACTGGTCTCTATAGGGTGGCTGGGATAGTGGGAAAGCCCAGGACTGCAAGAAGGCCCTGCACTTTAGGACATAAGCTTGGATGGACCCGAACATGTGGCGAATAGAGTATGTGGCTGGGCTGGCTGAACTGCAGGCCTGCATACATGATGTCAGCTGATTCGTTGTCTGTCCTTGAATTATCACGATCGCCCGGATGCCCGAAACAATGGATGCATGGCTCACTGAGCCCATGTCACCATGACAACGTGCAGTGAACGACGCTGCTTCTCACCAAGAGCAGTTCACACAGCTCGCTCATTGTTCGATGTGATCGTTCCTAGTTGAGTCCCGACAATTGATCTCGATGCGATTACCAATATGTCTACAAAATAAAACATACCGCTTGACTTGCTGTTGTGTTCTTAGTTATTATTTAACTTTTAAGTGTATAAATTCAAAGCGAAAAAAACGAAACAAAACAAACTAGAATGGAACTAAGCACGCGTAACTGTTCGATCGGCAGAACAAAGCAGCGTGTGCGGGGCGTCACGGCTGGCTAGACCTCAAACAATGACGGGTAATGTGTGCCAATCGAGCCTTGTCGATGTGTATGTGTTTGCACTGCGTACCACAGGGGCGAGGGGCGAGCTGTCAACGGCCCGGGTGTGTGTACCTCTGCTCTCGGGGAGAAATATGGGTACCCGGGTACTCCTCATAGGGCAGCGAGCTTTGGATATTCCGGCTCTAGGGGAAATTGTGTACTCTGGCTCTCATTGTCACAGTTGTCTGTTGCATATTCCTGCTGGTGTGTGCCCCGTCTCTGGACCAATCTGTCACCGTTCTGTCAGCACGCTGACGGTAGTCGGTAATGACAGCCGGGCGGGCGCCGGCCGGTCCGCTGACGGCGCGCCAGATGGCGTCGGGCGCCGCCGCCGCGAACCGTTCGGTCGGCGGCCAGTCGTCGGCCGGCACTGGCCGCCGCCGCGCGCAGTCCGAGGAGAGATGACCCAGTGAGGTGCAGTGTGCTACCGACAGCCATGGGGAACTCGCACAGTGGTAAACACGGCAAGCCGAGCCGCCGGCTGGACCGTCACGCGGCGTTACGACCCTCTGTGCACGCGCGAAGAGCTCGGCTGATTGGAGTCAGTCAGTTCGGCTTCGAGCCGGCGTTCGAGGCTCCCCTGAACCACGTGCTGCCGGCGCCGGGACGGCCGCGCGCGCACAGCTTCCGATCGCCTCCTGTGAGCCTGTCGCAGTCGCTGGACGCGCTGCCGACCATCCAGCTGGAGCACCGGCAGTCGGAGCGGCCGCGGCGCAGGAGCGAGCTGCGCGCCTCGCGCTCGGCGCGGCGCAGCTCGCGGCAGAGACCGCCTCCTCCGCCGGCGCCGGTGGCTTCCACAGACGACGAGAGGCCCGCGGTACCTCAGCGGCGCCGGCCCCCGAGACGGAGTCGGATGGTGGGCCGACAGCTGCCTGCCGAGCCGGAGCCGCGTGCTGCAGAGAACATCTACGAGACGATCCCCAGTGGAGGAGAGGCCTCCTCGGAGAGTGAGGACGGAGAGCCCTCGGCGCGCGCCGGCCGCGGACCTGCCTCCCTGTCTCTCCCGGCGCTAGTTCACTGCAGTGGGGAGCAGCTCTCTGAGGCGGACCCTCCCGCTGCCTCAGAGGGTGCCGCCGCGCCGCTGGCCACCTCCTCTCCTCGGCTGGCGGCGCGTGCCTCCCTGAGCTCGCTCACCATCCGTGTGTCGGTACCGGCCTCCCGCTCCGGCGGCGGGTTCAAACGGAGGAACAGCCTGCCGGCCCGGTCGGCGCTCGAGACGCAGGCGCGGCTGGGCGGCTCGCTGCGGCCCGCCTCCTCCTGTGTAGCCGTGGACGAGGTGCGGGTTCAGTCGCCACACTCCACGCTGGTGGACGTGGTGCCGAGCGGAGCAGAGTCGGACGGAGCTGAGGAACCCTCCAAGCCGGGCGAGCAGGGAGAGGCCGCTCGGCATAACCCTTCATCTTCCACCGCATCACCCGCTCCGGCGGATGAAACCGACGAGACAGTTCAGGTGACCGACACTACCGTCGAAATCAAAGAGGATGAGGACGCAGTAGATGGCTCAGCTCGCGCCGCCCCTGCGGGCAGACCCGCTGTGGACCCCTGTGAGGACGGTGTCGCGGCGGACAGTGGTCCTGAGGACAGTGAGTGCGGAGAGGACTCGGGGGCAGGCTCTCCACTGGACCAGACTCTGGACGTGTCGGCGGCGGAGTTGAGCAGCGACCCGGCGCCCACGCTGGCCGAGCTGGACGCCGTGTTTGAGCGGGCCGAGTCGGCAGAGGATGGAGACTGGTCCGGCGCGGAGACGGACAGGGTCGGACCGACCGCCGGCGACAGGTGAGGCGCGCAGAGCGGTCCTTCCCGACGTTTCAGAATGGCACTGGCCACAGGGCATGAAGGTGTATGTGCAACTCAGTTCTTTCCATGCATGCAAAATTACTTCAGGGCTTGGCCGTATGCGGTGTTACATGCTGACTATTCAGTAGCTGGTCTGCCGCTTTCGTGGCACCTTATATGTAGCAACGCAAATGTTGACCGAAATGACCTGTCGGCCGGCTTAGGAATGACCCCGCTAAGGTGCTGTTACCCCGCTGAGCTGCAGCTCTGCTAAAATCCGTCAGCTTTCCCGTTGACCTGCAGATCTGCTAAAGCTCTGCCAGCTCTCTCACTCGTTCCGCTATTCTGCTGTGGACCACAGCTGTGGCCGCCGAGACAGACAGGCTATGTCCGTGATGCTGACACCCATAGACGGACAATGTGCCGTAAAGCTAGTCAACCGTACCGAATCGACCGTGCAACGCGGTCAGAGACGGTTATCTCCCACCGGATGACCTCAAAGTATACCTAGCTGTACTGCCTTCTCTGTAATGGGATATCGGTCGCCGTATTCAACAGAGAAATCTCAGTTCTGACTGACCAGCTATCAGGGGCACAGCGGAAAGGAAGAGAGCCTCTCTGGTGTGGTATGCAGGTCGTTTGATGGGTTCATGTGCGCTACCAAGTGGAAAGTTGGCGACAGTCAGTGCCACTGGAGATGTGAGAGAGGTCCACGGTGGCGTATGGGGCTTCTTCTGCTGAATCACAGCTCCACAGTCTGTCTGCACTAGCCGTGACACGATGTCCCGTCCACCCTTTGTGGACAGCTCTGCCGCGCCACTCTCCACGGACCAACATTGTGTGCATGATCAGGGGCGTAGGCAGGGGGGGGCCACTGGGCCATGGCCCCCCCCCCTTGGGCGCCGAAGGCGCCCTTTGCGATTGGAGGGCGCCGAAGGCGCCCTCCAATCGCAAATGCAATTGTGATATAATCGAATCGAAAAACAATCGCGACTGGAGGGCGCCCTCCAATCGCGAATGTGTTTACAGGGAAAATACGGATGGAGGGCGCCCTCGGAGGACGCCCATTCCAAATACGCCCTCCAAATACGGTTGGAGGGCTCCCTCGGGCGCCCTCCAACCACATTTGTAGGCTGTAGCTCTCTAAGCGTAACGGTGGTCGCCTATGTAAGCCGCTGTCCTGTAAATAAGCGCCCTCTCACCCGAAGGCGCCCTCCTGTAGGTCGCCACCCTGCTACACATTGCCGCCCTTCTGCTGATCGGCGTCCTCATAATTATTGGCGCTCTCCTACCTATTGCGCCCTCATGTGAAATTTTGAAGGCCGCCTTTCTCCCTTTTGGCACCCTCTTGTTCAGTGCCGCCCTCCTACCTATTGGTTCCCTAGTCCTTCCTGTTGAATGTTAATCGGGGCCCTTCTCCTATTGGCGCCCTCGTGTAGATCACCGCCCTCCTAACCACTGGCACCCTCCTGTTGATCACCGCCCTCCTATCCACTGGCACCTTCCTGTTGACCAGCGCCCTCCGCACAGACGCACTCCTGTTCGTGTCATCCTCTTGAGCAAAGGCGCCCTCCTCACCATTGCCACCCCCATTTTAATCGTCACCCTTCCGCTCATTGGCGACTTCCAGTTGATGACCGCCCTCCCACCTATTGGCGACCTCTTGTTGATCGCCACCCTCCTATTGGTGCTCTCCTGTTCCTCGCCACCCTCTTACCTGGTGGCGCCCTCCTGTTGATTGTTGATCGGCGCCCTCCTACCTATTGGTGCCCTCCTGTTGATCGCTGCCCTTCTATCCATTGGCGCCCTCCTGCTGCTCGCCAACTTCCTACCTATCGGTGCCCTACTGTCGAAACTCGGGATGTTGATCGGGGCTCTTCTACCTATTAGTGCCCTCCTGTGGATCGCAGCCCTTCTACCTATTGGCAACATCCGTTGATCGCTGCCCTCCTATCATTTATTTACTCCTTTGGCATGTTTTTCAACTTAGTCGTTCTATTGCACATAGTTGATGTCTTGCCTGTGAAAACTGCCACAAATGAACGTGCATTCAGCACAATGAATGAAGTATCTATGCCTACCAAAACTATCTACGCTCTACGATGCATAAAACACGTCTTTGGTCTTAACGGATTGATCCTACTTTACGTGCATCATGGCATCTACATATATGGATTACGATTAAGTATTGTCAACAGGTTCGGGCGCAACAGCAGGCATCTGAAGTTTCGGTGATTGAAACTGGTTATGTGGGTACACTGTATGCATCTGTGAGAAGGCTATGAAGGCTGGTCTGAGGTAATTTGGATGATGTTTACGCATCTCGCGCTCCGGTATCAATCCGATACGGTGATCTGGTGCGTAGATATGCCACCGCCAATAAACTTTTATACATCGACACCCATGAGCCAAGCTTTCTGTACAGTTTGTGTGGCAGCGGCCCGACCAAACCTTAGGTATTTTTTACACCTTCAAATTTGGTAAAAGAGCGAGAGGAGCTTTGAACAGTGATCGTATAAAAGGCGTGCCTAAAAAGCGGAGGAAAAGGTTGTTTTCAAAAATTTCGCGCGCCTTCGGCGCAGCATTTCAAGAACACTTGACCTTTTGTGACCTGGAGTATAAAGAATACACACGATGCAAAATCAAAGCAGCAGTCGACCTATACGAGGTTACGCAAAAAAAAAAAAAAACTGGTGGCATGGTAAAAAACGCCTCCCAACCCCCCAACCCCCACTGAGCGATTTTTTATCTCGCGACCGTATGGCGCCCTCCTTGGGTGAGGTGGCGCCCTCCAAACCCTTGGCCCCCCCCCCCCCCCTTCGCGATTTTCTAAATACGCCGCTGTGCATGATGGGGGGCATTTGGGTTCAGGTCTCTCACTCCCCCTCTCTCTCTTCTCTCTCTCTCTCTCTCTCTCTCTCTCTCTCTCTCTCTCTCTCTCTCTCTCTCTCTCTCTCTCTCTCTCACCCAACCTCCCTCAATCCTTTCAATCTGGTCTGTCTTTATACACAGACAAATTTGTCTCTCCGACCCTCTCCATCTCTCTCCCTCCCTCCCTCCCTCTCTCCATCCCTCTACTCCCTTCCTGCTCCCTCTCCCCCTCAGCATCATATCGGCCGATCACTGCCGCCGCAGCGCGGCGGCAGCTGCCGATCCGCTGATAGTCGGCACAATGCAGCGGTGACCCGGTGCAGTACCCACCCTGTGAAGGTCACCAGCCGCTAATTGGGATGACGCAGTCGGATGTGACGGCTCAGCACAGCCAGTGATTTAGCAAAGCACAAAGCAAAACGAACCACTTTTTTGCCGGCCTGTGCGTTCGATGAATTGTCAGTGTCTAATGGGTTTTCAACTCTGCTTAACCTAAACTATCGTGCATGATTAATTCATAAATCAAGACCACAAAGACGTGTCCTCTAATTCGATTGTGCTATCAGTGAGGCATCAATTTTAGGTCGTTTCAGCACACCAGATGTCGTTGATCGGTCATTGCACCTTCAAAGAGATGACACATATAGGTACCGAACCTTCTGCGCAGCGGGTAGTCCCATCTCAATGGAATTCAGGGCAGTTAAACCACGGAGTGAGTTGCAGACTGCTATCAAATTCAGCGCCAAAGCACCCAATTATAAATGCATTTTGCTCCGATTTTCCGTCGCCGACCTTGCTCCGACCTTCAGCTAACGCTACTCCGATTAATTGTGCCCCGTTAGCGCTCGCTCGGATGGGGTCAGTTTGGTGTCATGTGCTCACCATGCCAAGCACGGGAGGGCTGTGGCATAGCTTCATACCATTTGCAGTCCGATTTCATCAGTCTAGCTGTGGTTTGCTATATGCATAGAGCTACGGCATGTAGATAGCTATTAGCTAATATTGTTGGAACATTACCGGTGCCACGTGCAGTTATCTGGATGAGGGCGGGGAGGCGTTGTGCTGGCCGGGTGCAGGGGGCAATGCTGGGCGGGTGCGGGTGCGGGGGCACTGCTGGACGGGGGTGGGGGCGGCGCTGGCCGGGCGCGGCCGCTCTGATCGGGCTCGCTCAGCATCCGGGGCGGCTGGGCGGCGTCCCTGGCTCAGCCGGCCGTCCCGTCACGCTCCGGCGCCCGGACCGGCCCGCCGGCCCGCCGGACTGCCGGACTGCCGGCGCGCACCGGCCGCAGATGGCTCCCAAAGGCCCGCAGCTGACGCGTCGACCGCCAACTGAACGGTACAACTGCGCTCGGAACGTCCGCGACCGCCGCTACTCCGGCAGAAACCGCCGGCTCTGCTCCGACCTGACCTGGGACACTCCGACTCCGACCTGACCTGGTCTGAATCATCGTCCGCAGTTTGGAGAGGGAATCTCGGTCGCCTCACGGCTGACGTGAGGGACAATGAACGTTACGGCGTGGAACACCAGTGAATTGATGTGCGGTGGGCAGTGGCCATTTTCGAACATTGCTCATGTAATCTCTTACCAGAAGACGTGAGAAATTCTCGTATGGATCGGCCATCGCTACTTATCAGATGCGCGACAAGCCATTGGCTTGTGGTGATGTGAGGGTGTCTGTCTTCTCGTTTGTTTGACAAATGGACATCATCTGGCCATCAGTTCTTCGTCTCCATTTCACGCACTATTCGACCCACAGTTAAAAACCCGAATTATGCCTGAACCATACCCGGTGGGCTGGCTCTAATAAAACGAATCACCCTCGACCGCGCCGCTTGGTAATCATTTGACCAACGGGTAAGTTGGTCCTCCACTATTCACCTCGGAGTAAACCAATCACTCCCACCTAACAAGGGGTACCTGAGGCAGCGCCGAAGGCGAGCGGCCGTCGGGTGTGGCAGCTGTATAAGTGGTCTCTCTCTCTCTCTCTCTCTCTCTCTCTCTCTCTCTCTCTCTCTCTCTCTCTCTCTCTCTCTCTCTCTCTCTCTCTCTCTCTCTCTCTCTCTCTCTCTCTCTCTCCTCTCTCTCTCTCTCTCTCTCTCTCTCTCTCTCTCTCTCTCTCTCGACCGTCTCCAATCTGGCACCGCGGTGACGCGGCCCGTATGTCATCTCATTTGGCAGTAGTGGCTCTGGCTGTGCTGATCTCTCCTCTCCACAACAGAGTGCAAGACCATCGCCTTCTCATATTGGCGCCAGTCGCTTGGTCTCTCTCTTCCTTGGATACTAAACTGCTGAGCGCGATCCATCGTGAGTTCGGTCCGCATATCGACGTCGCTAGCCGTGCCGATCGCTCCTCTCCGCGCCCAATACCGAACCGCTGCTCGCTCTGACCGGCTAACTGTGTCGAGCGCCGTGGCGCGGCACCCAGTCATGTGGCGATTATCCGCCCCACCGCCACCGTCACCGTTCAGATGTGGGCCAGCGCAGAGCGCGTCGGTGCCGTCTCTGCTCTGGAGGCTGAGAGGAGGGATTCTCCGGAGCGAGAGGAGCGGCCGTCTCGCCGCGCTGACCGTCGTGGGAGCGTCGGACGGTGGTGTCGGCAACCGGAGACACATGGCGGCCAGTGACCGACGCGGGCGGTGTACTGCCGCAGAGTGGACGGTCGGTGTTATTGGAGGGAGTGGCCGGTCTTGGTGTGGCAGGTCACTGCCTGAGCGGCAGGCAGTTATCAGAGGCACTACTCAGAGTTGTTCTATATACCCTGCTACTCAGAGGAAGAGGGTGGGTTGCCACTGGAGGATTGCATGATTGTTTGTGTACAGGATAGGTTGGTTAAATGATTGTTGCCATTACTTTGCTGCACGGACATTCTGCATTTGACGATGACTGATTCGGCCCGATAGGCGATAACTGAGCAGTTCCTAACTACCCATCCCTCGGTCTCCGAGGGGTGACCTGCACCGACCCCTGCCCGGCGCGTGTCCCTGAGTCTTGTTACGGCGGCCTCCAAGATGTCACGAGCGTGACGGCATGCCGTGACGTCACGGCCGATCGCGTTTGGAAACCGCTGCTCAATGCTCCGTCTGGGGAGAAATCGCACTATGCGCCGCGCGAAACCAACTGCTGGCTGCCGCTCCGCTAATCCGCTGTCGGATGAGAGATGAGAGGTGACATTTGGCGAGTGGAATATCGTTACAATTTCAATCAATCTGTCTGACAAACGTTGCACAAACAATGCGCTTAATTTTGTGTCACTCAACTAGCAAATTTTCCCGAAGCGGTAAAGTATACGACGGTACGGGTCGACTTAATGGGCGTGCCGACTCACGAGCGGCATTAACTGGTGACCGTGGATGTCCAACGTCGTTCTTAAAGCGTTTTATCACTAATAGCCGGTGAAACGGCGCCGGCTCACAGATGGTGGCCACTCGTACCCATATACTTGGTGCATTTTAGGGTGTGCAATAGCGACTCAGGTAACGCATGTTGCAGGTCTAGTTATCGCCAATTTGTGGTCAAATTACGGCATTCAGCTAGACCGGAGCAGACATGTAACGAGTTTCCTCAGTTTTAATGATTCTAACATGGCAATGTAAATGTCGCTTTAATAAATTATCATCATGTACGCATTACACATGCTGGTGAATAAATTATAGCTGACGCAATACGCAAAATACGCTAACCTGTCCATGGAAGCGAGTCCCTCTTTTTGGCCTTCTCTCTGACCAAGGTCTGGCATCAGCTCGCCTCTCCCTCCCTCACTCTCTCTCTTCTCCCTCTCTAACTCCATTCCCTCTTTCCGCAGCGCCAACAGTCAGATGGAGAACGCGGTGACTCCCGTCTACCTGGCCGCTCAGGAGGGGCACCTGGACGTACTCCGGTACCTCGTGGACGAACAGGGCGGCTCGCTCACCCTGCCAGCTAAGGACGGCATGGCACCGGTCCACGCCAGCGCCCAGATGGGCTGCCTCAGCTGCCTCAAATGGATGGTGAGTGTGACTGTGTCTCAGCTGCCTCAAATGGATGGTGAGTGTGTCTCTGTCTCAGCTGCCTCAAATGGATGGTGAGTGTGACTGTGTCTCAGCTGCCTCAAATGGATGGTGAGTGTGTCTCTGTCTCAGCTGCCTCAAATGGATGGTGAGTGCCTCATTGGCTCAAATGGATGGAAAGAGTTCCTGGCTGAGCTGCATCAAAGGGAATGCTGGCTGTTTCCGGTTTGTCTCCCATAGAGGTTGTTGCTCTGCTTTGATCTGTTAAACGTTTAACGTCTGGAGGGTGTACAAATTTTTGGTTAACCTTCTTAAGGGCCTTTATATCATTCATTTCCCCTGGAATAAAAGACCGCAAATGCTGATGAACGACTTGTTTTATCTCTAGGCAATTGATCAATTTAGTGTAACAGAGAGTGAGACCTTCGTAAGGTATCCATATTTAAACATAAATACTTGGGAATGTTTCATTTATAAGTTGCTGCACTCTCAAAGCATCCAATATCATCCAGTCTCACTTATGTATCAATTTGGCCAGCATTGCCCACACCAGTCAACGAGGATTCTAATTCCCCGTAGCGTTAATTGTGGGCGCCATGTAGGGAGCTCACAAACCGTGAAATTATCTGTCACTCAGACCGGCGCATTTTGATCTTTGCCTCGTTTGATTTGTCGATTCGGCGCTGGCCTTGGTATGTGACCTGCCCTGAGGGCATTCTATTTGAATAATTGAGTTTATCCCCATTGAGGAAATGTTGTCAGAAAAAGTAATGCTGCGGACCACTGATGCGTGGACGGTCCACTCCAAACAAAGCCTCCCGTTATGCATAATTACTCGCTCCTTGCGTTCACTCGGGCGGCGATCTCACCACCGCCTCCCGAGCTGCAGTGGCGACACTGCTCCAGGAACGAGTGCCGGCGAAAGTGGCGGCTGATGCGCCCATAATACCGTCTCGTCCACTGACCGCCAGCGTTTTGACCCGCGTACCCAGCCAGCCGTGAAAACGAACGGCCAAAGATGGCGATGAAGGATGCGATAGTCACTCTGCAGGCGCGTGGTACTCAAAGTGGCCTTAGTCGTTTGGAATCACATACATATGCATGGGAGAGTTGCTATTCAACTCTGGATAAATTAAGGTAAATGATCACTTAGTGTGTGCGTGCACGTGCGCATTTTGGGAAAAAGCCGGCTCGGGTCATTTAAAATGGGATTCGAAGCTGTAATACCGAAACGTTTATCTTACGAGATAGCGTCGTGTGCTTTATTGAAGTCCCCAGGCTGGCGAAACTATCACGGCGGCCTGAACACACTGCACCTTCCAAGCGTTGCAGCTGTAACATCAAAATGAAAAGGAACAAACAGTGCTCTGACCTCTGAAGATGTAGTGGATGCTGATCTTCTAATTTTGTTTATAGCAATCCCTGACATTGTTCAAACTGCGATAACACTGATGATAAGCTCGGAGATCGAACAATCAACATGAACATTCAGAGAAGTAGGCCGGACCTAGAACAGAACCATTAGGTCTTGGCTTTTAGAGCGCGAACGGTATAAAACCAGTTCCTTCCCGCGAGATGCTTCACACACTGTTCAATTGGACTGTGTCTTATTTCCCACCAGCGGCAGTGAAGTGTTTAAAGAAGGCGGAATCCGGCCCTGTTTGGGCCGAGTTCGTTACAGTGAGCAGCTGGATCGGAACGGCATAAATAAGAGTACGTCTAAACACATTGTCGAACAGAGCAGGAAGATGAGAAAGGCCGGGTCTCTTGTGCTTCCGGTCACATTGGCTAAAACAGGCTAGATCGTTCCCTTGGAGATTGAAAGACGCTGAGGCAAGTCTGTTCTATTCTCCTACGTAGTACGTGCTGAACGGTCAGAGATACTGGGCGATCGGGCGATCCCTGACCGGCCAAGTCGGTGTGACGAGACGGAAGGACAGATGTTTTTTTAGTTACCCCGGTTGGGCCCGGTGATACGGTACCGGTCGGACAGTGACGTCGGCCCGGCTCGGTCCCTGTGACCGCTCAACTGACCCACATCACCCTGCAGAGTCAGCTGGTGCTCAGGGAGCAGCGGCGGACCGGCCGGCCACTGAACGGTCACGGTCGGCTAGCCCGGCGACCCGCCGCGCCGCCGCATATAATCAGAAACCGCTCACCGGCACACGTCCCCTCCCCCTCCCCTCCGAGGTTCACTAGTCTGCCGCCGATCAGCTGACGTACCCCCTCCCCAGCACTGAGATATTACCCGGCCACACGACTCACGCGTCGTCGTGCCCAGCAGCACCTCCCTAATCAACGCCATGTGGTCACCGTCATAATTGCAGGACTTGGAAATTGTTCATATGGTGGCGAAACTGCTGCATCATGAATCTGAACAGCATAATAATCGTATACCAATTACCATGACAAGCGAACTTGGATGATGAGATGCTACGTTTCGACACATCTGACTGATTATGAATTATTTCATTTTTTAGCAAAGTTGAATAGAAATATTATTATCAAAGAAATACTATTAAAAAGATCAATTAGGTATCCTATCCATGCCTGATGTCTGATGACTTTGAAGGTATGGAAGCTTGCAAGCCCTAAAAAAAGACTCGAGTGCCATGGTCAGACATGACGCTAAAGCCTATTTGATTTTTCCAGGTTCTTGAGAAGGACGTGGACATCAACATGCGGGACGGCGACGGCGCCACGCCGCTCCATTTTGCGGCCAGCCGCGGCCACACTCAGATGGTGCGCTGGCTGCTGCGGCACGGTTCCAAAATAGTGCTGGACAAGTACGGCAAGTCGCCCATCAACGACGCGGCCGAGAACGAACGAATAGAGGTGGGTCAGAACGTCGGTGATCAACAAAAATGAAACCTCTTTTCAGACTTCGTAAAATGTAATGCAACTATTTGCTGACAGTGTAACGAATCGTAAGAGAGAAGCAGGTGAGTTAATTATTGTATTTGACTTTATTCTGTTGGTTTGCAATTATTCACAGATCGTAATAATTCAAACGGCTTGGCATGTTTCAAAATAATTCGACCGCTGTCTCGTCAGTCCCGGTGCCGTTCTCCTGAGCCCTCCATGTGTCCGTGTTTCAGTGTCTGTCTCTGCTGGTTCAGCACGGCACCGACCCCGATTACGACATGGATGAGGACGCCGACAGCGGCCGACAGTCCAACTCCAACTCCAACCCGTGCTGCTGCAGGGGGAAGGTGAGAGACCTCCAACCCCAGCAGATAATGCTACGGCGCAGGGTGTGATGGATGCTTCAGCACTAGTAGAGCCGGATTGACAATTGAAGCCGTTTATCTTTCAGTTAACTTGTATGTGTTGTATTACATACCGTATCTTCCCTGAACCTTTCGAACTCTGCAGTGCTCGTCTCACCACCACGGTGACTGATGTATTCCGCAGTGCATACTGGCGATGTTGTTTGTCGTAACGGTCGATCCGAGTTTGAATAATCGATTCACGCCGTGGGTGACCTCTGGACGTGCCGGAGCCGTGTCCGGGTGTTCAGCCGCCCCGGTATTCTCCCACTGACGTCACGGTGTGGGCTCCACAGACGTCTGCCGGCGACTCGTCCGGCCCGTCCAGCCCCCGTTCCACCGAGTCCACATCGTCCCACTACTACAGCGGCGGCAGCTCGACGGGCGAGCACTCTCCGTTCTACCTGCACCGTCCGGGCGCCGCTCCGACCGCTCCGGGGGGCCCACCGACCGGACCCCGGACCCTGAACGCCGGACACAGGCCCTTCTACCTGCACGAGCCGGGCGACTCGGTCTACCACCGGGTCAACGAGCTGTTCAACTCGCTGACGCTGGGGCACGAGCCGCGAGCCAGCAATGGAGATAAGAAGCAGCAGCGGCGCAGGAGGGACGGGGAGAAACAGAAACTGAAGCGGGCCGCGCCGGCTGCGGAGGTGCCGCCCCCGCCCCCGCCCCCGCCGCCGCCGCCGCCGGGGACGGTGCAGAATGGACAGGGATCCCCACCGCCGCCGCCACCACCGCCCCCGCCACCGCCAGCTACCAGCAAAACTTTGCCGAGGTTACCAGGTAAGTCGAGATCGACGCTGTCATGTCTTTTCTATAAATATCATAAATTAATGCGATATAAAATATAACACTTAATATTTAATTTTGGTAGCTTCGCATAAAATTTATTTATTTCATTTTATCAACAGCGTCTAAGCCGGGGACGCCACCCGCCATCACGGAGCCTGTCAGTCAGAAAGAGGCCGACGCTCGACGACCTGGCTCCGGAGGTGAGGCGTCCATGTTTGTGACAGAATAATTTGTAGTAGAGGCAGTAATGCACTGATACGTAGAGAGGTCCTCGTCGTCTCTACATATTGGACTCGGTCGGCAGCTTGACAGGATTTAACTCTGTATTTGTTTACCCACTTCCACTGGGTTTCTCCACAATTATGTGCCAATAACAAACAGCCATTTGACACCTCATTATTCGCTCATTATAACTCGCTCAACTTTCGGTTTCCGTGTTAGGGTCGACTTTCCAAACGGTAATCGCTTTGTTGTCTAGTTGACGGGATAACCCAACCACAAACGATACTAACCGAAAGTGTTGTTCTCAGGAGGCCTTCACCCGTACACAAACGTGGCACCTTACGAAATAGTGGCCGACGTTCATGAGAACAGCTCTGACACAGAGTCCATTCCACCTCCGCCGGGTGAGTTACAGTAAGCGGACCGATCAAGAGGCTCAACTCAGTTAGCCCAACAAGAATCGTGTCGTCATAAAAAGGAAATGCCTACGCCCATAGCGTATCTCTCGTCGTCGTTTTTTGTATTGTGTCTAAAGTTATGTGATCCGTCAGCGAGGACTCACTTGTTTTTAACAATAAAAATGTCATATTCTATAAATCAATGCCTAAACTAATAAAATGTACATACACAGCTCCTGACATGTCCTCGCTGCCGGTTCGTTTGCAGAGTTCGGTGACAGCAGCAGCTCGGGCCGCGACAAGAGTCCGCTGCGTCGACTGCACGCCCTTTCCACATCCAGTAGCACCTCCAGCGGGCCGCCCGTGCCGCTGCCGCCCAAACCCGCCCCCGCCCCCGCCCCGGACGCGCCGCCCGCGCCCCTGCCGCCCAAACAGAAACGGCGGGAGCCGGCCACCGCGCCGCTCCCGCCGCCGCCCCCACCCAAAACGGCGACTCCGGCCGCCCACAAGGCACCTCCTCCTCCACCCCCTCCCCCTCCGCCGCCCCCGCCCCCTCCCCCACCACCCCCGCCTCCTCCGAGCCAGGGCGGCAGCGCCGAGTCGTCCACGGCAGAGGGCAGCACCTCCGAGGAGCAGACTCTGCGGCCCAGTCAGCTTAAACAGGCGTCCCAGGGCGCCGATACCAGTCTTTCAACGCTGCGGGAAGCGCGTACGTCAACAGTCGTTTTACGGGATTCTCGATGCTGATAGTTTAGTTATGTTTGTGATTTCATCTGATGAACTTCTATGTATTGTTATAGCAATAGATTATGCGGATAAGGAACATAACGTCAGTCATTTACCGGTATCAGATTACTACTGAATGAAATTGTGTTGGTTATTACGGGAAATTTCCGATATTTCCTCTAATGTCGGGAATACCCCGCCTCAGACCCCTGCTGTGGTATTTTACTGACCGTCCGCCATTTCGTTCCCAGGTCAGGTCCGCGGCAGCCGCCCCACCTCCCTGCCCGCGGACGCCGGGGAGCACCTGTCTGCCCAGCTGCAGGCCGTCACCGGAGACCCGTCCAGCTCCGCCGGCACCCTGCTGACCACCGCCGCCAAACTCAAACACATGCCTGCCGTGCCGTTCATCCCGCCCAAGTTCCCGTCGCTCGCCGACCCGAACCAGCTCATCAAACCGTCCGAGTACCTGCGCTCGATCGGCGGCCGGCCGGTGGCGCCGCCTGGCGGCCGGCAGACGGCGCCACCGTCGGAGCAGGGCGCCGAGGACGGGCCCGTCAGCCTGAGCTCTGACAGCGGAGTGGACTCGATCGCCTCGTCTCAGCCGGCGCCGCCGCCGCTGCCGGCGATCCCTGAGGCGGCTCAGGAGGGCGGACCCCCGCCTCCCCCGCCCCCTCCGGCTCCTGCGGCCGGTCCGCCGCTGGTGGCTATCTCGGCCAGTCAGCTGCAGCAGGTGCAGCTGAGGAAGACGGCCGACAAACTCACCAAGACCTACTCGGCGCCCGTGGGCGGCGCAACGACAGGTGAGCCACGGATAAACCGGGCTGAGATTGGGTCGAACGAAATGGCACTAAAATAACATCCTACCGGGCTTGGCATATTGAGTGTCAAGACAGATGAGGCTATCGTACTACCTAGTCCTTCCAAACATGCTTTGAAGTGAATGCAAACGCATTATTCTCTGTAAAATATCGCCATACAGTAGGGAATATCTTACCGCAACTTACCATAACCCATCAATCACGTGATATTTTTGGGTTTTACCTGTCCATGGAAGACGTTGCGGAGAATGCGGTGATTCCGTTATTTTTGCCCCAGCCCAAGGCTGACCTTCCTCAAATGACGGGAGACGGTGGATGGGACGCGAGCAGTGATCAATGACCACAGAGGGAGTCCAGTAGAAGACCGCAGCCCGTTCATAAAGCCCGGCACTCCCTGGCTGATGTCCACCTCACAACACCTGATCCCCGCCGACCGTCCCCGCTGGTCCGGTCTCCATACATCAGCCCAGCGCCGAGCGCCGGAAGGACACACCCTGTACCCGTCCTCTGACCGCAGCACCGGTGATGAGTGGACCGGGGTCACGGCGGATTGGTGCGTGGGTGTCCCCGTCCAGCCGCTGTCCGACCAGCAGCTTAGTTGAAGTGCTGGACTTCCGGTAGCGGGAGTCCGGTTTAAGTCGCTCCGGTGCCGGTTATATAAGACTTCTGACAACGTTGTTCGTGGTTTACCGGAATTATTCAATTTAACGAGTTGACCTGACTGCGTCCGGTTATATTGTCGACGATATACGTTTATTGACGTCACTAAACGCTCAGGTGACCCACACTGTATGCCGGAAGTCAAGCATGACCTCGCAATGACCTCACATCCCCACCTCCCCTCCCTCCGTGTCCAGCCAACAACAACATGTCGGTGAAGAAAGACGACGTCATCGCCGAGCTGAAGCGCAGCAAGGACATGGACGGCGTACGAAAGCTGCGGGAGGAGCGGGCCAAGTCGGCCGTGCAGATCCTCCGGGAGGAGAGCAAGGAGATGAGCAAGGAGTTCACCGCAGAGGCTTTCCTCAGCGAGGTGAGGGACTTATACTCGGGATGCGCTTCCGATGGGATAACAGCCGCTTAGATATGTGTATTGGCCTTATAGCATGTCGGGCAATTAGTGTCCTGTTAACGGTATATTTTCAGTTAATTGATTACAATCTTTCTCTAGAGCTTATTTATCACTTTAACGTTAGCTAGACTATGCTTGCGAGGACTGATTTAGAGCACTACTGTTGACACGCTCTGTATGATCGCGTACATCGTAAAAACGGTAATAATTAGAGCTGAGGACGAACGTCCTCAAGTGGCTACACACAATCCTCCAAATTGCTGGGCTAACTACTTTCATATCTATTGCCTTAGGGCGGTATACGAGTACATGAATGGAACTGCTTACAAAAGACATAGTTTCTGCCTAACACATGATACGCAGTTGTTGTTCTAACATGAATGTAAATGTCAATTAATGCAAACCTTGATATTTCTCGTCATAAATCTACGAAAACATCTGAATCTCGGCATAATGTTCTGCCATCAATACTGTGATTACAGCAGTCAGTATGGTCGTATAGCTATATTTATGGCGGTACTAAGGATGAAGGTCACATCACGAAAGTATCGGCTTTCGCTTTATCTCCAAACAACACAGGTCCTTGAACCTAATGAATGGAAGTTCATTGCTTGTGCTCATGTTAGTCAGTTAATGAAAATGCAAAATAATGGATGATGTCATTTTCATGTTGGTTGGACTGAAGCTGATATGATATTTGATATGTGTAAACTAATACGCTTCTGGAAGATTCCGGCCCAGCTTTGCCCAAGGAACTGTCAGGAAATTTACGGACATAGCTGTCATTGTTTCTAGAAAATCTCCCTTATCGGATGTCCACCACGAGTCGCCTTTCCGCTGACAGAAACTAATAAAGATAACTCCGAATGTCAATACTGCCATGTTTCTTACGTGGATTAAATCACCACAAGGCACAAAGCTGGTTGTTTTCGAGTTATTTTTATATGAGATTCCGTGATATTTATTTCGTATTTTTTATTTCAGTTGTATTGTGTACCTATATGCCGAGAAATTCGCACCAAGAGCTATGATAGCGCCGTTTATAAAAACTCCGCGAATTATTTCAGATTCCCGAGACGGACGCGGCCGGTAACACGATTCCGGCGTGGAAGCGACAAATGATGGCGCGGAAGGCAGCTGAGCGCGCCAAAGTCGCCGCCGAGGAGCAGCGTCTGAAGGACCTGGAGCAGCAGAAGATGCAGGCGCTGCCGCCCTGGAAGCGACAGCTGATCGCCAGGAAGGAGGAAGAGGACGCCAAACGGTCAGTGGCGGAGAGGGACTGACCGTTAGTGGGGGGGGGGGGGGGAGCTGGTCGTATGCCAAACAGTCAGCTGGAGGATTGGTAATCGAAAGACATTTATGTCTATGCGACCAATGGAGCACAATTTTGATACGGTGCGGGTAAAGACTGAGTCTGGTTCTCTTTCTCTGGTCAGATTAACAGGGTTATGTTTCAAATGTGTGGTTGTTAATTTCTGACTAAAATATACTGTACGGGATGCATTTGCTGAAGGAGAGATAATTAATTGTAAAATAGCAGCTCTCCCGTTGCCCAATGATAAACTATGCGTGTTCTTCTGACTTGGCTTATGACTTTCTGTTCACTGGCGTCGTTTCACTTCGCTTAAGTTTTAGTTTCGGCATGCGTTATCATCTTTTGTTGGTTCACTTAGCTTTGAATCGCACCCAGCACCGCTTTTCTCGCTATCAACATTAATCTTCGTCTTCTTTTCACGCACATTCCTCTCTAAGTCTTTGGCTGAGGTGGAAGGGAACCATTGTCTTATGCGTCGCTAAAATCAAATGCTTTTTCGGAACCATTTTCGGAATGTTTCATTACTCGTAAGACATCTTCTCGCGTCTCAACTCTAAACGGCTAAACGTCTTACATCCTTCGTCACTTATAAATGTTCTGTTGCTCTTTGACCACTGAACAACCAACAGTTCAGCCGTTTCACCTCAGCCAAAATGACGTCACCTCAGCCTCAGTGACGTCGCGCGGTGAGATCAGCCCTCTGGGCAGCGTCCGCTAACTCCGGTCACGGCGTGCCCGGTCGGCCGGCCGGGGGCGCCGTGACCCTGCCCTCTGTCGCTTAGCCGGTCACACGCGTGTTGCAGGTCGCACGGGCCCTGAGGGACGGCTCACAATCGCACCATGCACTCGTAGTGTACAGCACGGGTAAGTGTGTCCGTCGGTCCTCCAGTCAGGCTCTTAATTTCCTCCGGCGTCAAAAACCGCCAGTTAGCGTGCAGAGAACCTTCAGGTCTGAGGTGGAAACCTGATGCTACTCAGAGAAAAGCCGGAGTGTTTTTATCACTCTCGCGGCTACTGTTCTGATGCGAGGCCAGATACGAGTCCCGCAATCCGTCATGATCTCATTTTTTGTATACTCAAAACCGGATTTGTGATGTTGAACATGGTATTACAGATCAAACACACAGTGCATTACCTTGTAAGATCCAGGAATATAACGTATGTACTATGCAGTTCATTGAGCTGCACTCGATCAAATTGAGCAGCCAGCTTTTTCAAATGCCGACCTTGGCTGTCTCAAGGCAGCTCAGAACCTCACAAAACCGGCCTCTATCAATTCCTGCCGAGGAGAGCTGGCAGAGAATTAATAATCCGGCGGCAGAGTAGAGTCCTGTCACCCGGCGCTACTGATTTACGCCGGCCTATCGGACCTTCCTCAGCAATAAACTGTCGTCCGCCTGACCCGTGTACTTCATGCATAGTGTATGCGATACCTTGACACACTACTTCTGCAGCTGCGGAGCGTTAAATACTAGGCTGGGACTCGGCTTAACCGATCTTCGCTTTGATACTATCCCTTGCTTCTAGCATTCAGGGAACTTACAATAACGCCACATTCTAAGACTTGATTGCCTTTATTTTATAACCGCTACAACCACTTCATCATTAACCATTTCACTAACTATATTAGCAATGCTACAACTGTTTTTTTTTTTACCGTTACATGACAGGTGACGTTTTACAGCAGAACAGTGACCTCTAACAATGGCCTCCGACTGCTGACCCCTGTCCTGTGACCTCTGACCTTTGTCCAGCGTCTGACGGTGCGTCTTTGTCCGACAGCCGCTCGATGACCAGCTGCCGACGGGTGCCGGTGGCGGCCCCCACCCCCGAGGAGATGATGAAGACAAGAGCGGCAGAACCGCTGGCCGTGCACCGGTAGTAGAGGCTGCCGGCCGGGAGGGCGCTCTGTACCGCTCGTAGGCGTTCTGCCCCGGCTAGGGACGTTGAGTGCCGACCTGCAGGACCTGCAGGTTCTGGTCCGACCCCGGGGAGCCCTGTCCCGGCCTGAGGCATCTTGTCCCGGCCCGAGGCGCTTCGTCCCGGCCATGGGCGTCCTTGTGCCGGCGCGGCGCGTCCCAGTTGTGCCGTTCGATCGGAGGCCGCTGGCGGGCACTCCGTCCCGCCGCGGCAGACGGACCGGACCTTCCGCGGTGATATCTCTGATTACCGTCCGCAGCCGCCGTCCGTGGGGTGATGTATGGTGAGTGGAGTCCCCAGTCACCACTGCACTGCCGACAGTGGCGACTCTCAGACAGCCTCTCTCACTCAGAGAGCCGCCACAAACACATGTGTCAGGCTCAGCCAGCAGACGACAGAGCCCACTCGGCTGTAATAGACACCGCGAGGAGCCGCCGTTCTGCGCACCAACCTTGAGCGAAGCTGCTGGAAGGACAGGAGGACGCGCGCGGATTCCAGGCAGGAGGGCGCCGGCAGCCGGTGTCTCCTGCTCGGGGGGACGGGGGGGGGGGGGGGTCTCAGCACTGCGTGCTGACCGGGGCGACGGGACAATGCCATGTGATACTGTGTCCTGTGCGCCCCGAGGTGGCTGCGTCTGGTTGACGCATCAGATGTGCGAGCGTGTTAGAAAGTGTGGAAGTGTGAGTGCTTGCGATTGTGGACAGTAGCTTATAACTAATGTTCATTTGTCCAGAGAATGCATGTTTAGAGTGAACGTGTTTATCTAGTGCTTATCACTTGCTCTGTTACCCATGGGTCGAATGCCAGCAGGACATACTTGGTCGTAAACGTCTTTGGATGCTTTTAGATGGCTTAGGTCTCATGTGTTAAACACGTAGACGAGACATTTTCTCTGAACACTTTTCAGTGATTGGAAAGTGCTTAAAGAGATAACGCAGAAGTAGAATTGTATGTACGGACGTTTTGACAGGCGTCGTGATATGAATTCAAGGAATGTATGAAGACTTTACGTGACAAGATGACGTATATTCGACTACATAACAACAGAGCTACATAAGTAGATTTTGAACTACGTGATGATCTGAAATTCAACTGGTTGGATACCACGAATGTATTTTTTCCTCTTCAATAGTTTTTTTACACATACCTTCACACTATAGCTAGGAGGGAGTGGAGCAGTGTTCGCCACGGGCCCCAAAATCCCCGGCCCAGCCCGGCCCGGGCCCATGGGTTCAGAGCCCGGCCCAGCCCGTAGCCCGCTCTTGGCAAATATTCCAAGCCCAGCCCGGCCCGTCAAAAATAGCAATCTAGTTATTGTCTTAGTCTATTGCTATAATAAGCATGATTGATTACACTATTTTGAGAACAATTCAAATTGCATGAATATTAACATGGCAATCATGACTCCCTTCTTTTCAATGAATATATTCATTTCAAGCACCTATGGCACAAAATTTTAACAGTAACAGCAAGCACCTCAGTCAATTAGGTCATGATTACACACCTATAAAAAGTTTACATGATTATATTAACTACATTCTATGAGTAAAGTTATCTTGCAAGCTGATCTGTGTGAACATTATCATTATCATTCATAATTGGTGACTCTAATGCATACTTGAAGGAAGTATTTGCCACATACTCTATACTTCCCAGCACTTACCAGCAGAAAAAAGCTTGACTTATAGGAATTGATGAATCTGTCTGGGATTGACCTTGCTGTTAAATTCACTCCATAGATGCTGCAATATCAAAAGCCTGAGAAAGCATACAAAATAGGTGACACTAACTTTAGCACTGTCTTCCAAAAAAAAGAGAAAATCAATCCATTTATCAGCAAAACTGATCTTATCTATTTTCAATTCATGCCCACGTGTCAACCGAATCTCTGTGGACAACTATCTGCTACTTTCCCTGCTATTTTATGTTAGGCTCTTTTCAAGATATGGATATCGCTAGCAGCGTAAGCAGAAAACATGGTAAGCTTGAAATTTCATTGGGTACTTTTGAGACTTTTACGCATCATCATCATCAATCGAAAATGAGCGAACACTTCTTGATTGTCGCAGCTGCGGCAGGTAGCGATTTTGACCAATTGTATAATAAAACATATATGATCAAGTTTTTGTTTTGTTTTTCGTTCGAGTTTTCAGATTTCGTGATTAAGGTTTTATTTTTTATTTGTTTAATTTTGTTTTTCACCTTGATACTTACTTAAAAAACGTATTTATTTGATATACTGTTGTGTATACTACCTAGATGCCGCCACATAAACAAAGTGCCGCCGCATGGCCGCCGCCATGATTGCAAATTTTGTTGAGAAGGGGCTGGTTTGTTGTGATTTATTTTGACAAATTTATGGACATTTAAAGAAGCTTTCATCTCGAAATACTCTGTAGAGTTCCTCGTTACTTACAGTGTGTTTTGTGAGTATCCTTTTAAGGTTCTGCTCGTTAAAAAGCCGTCGGTGAAGGAAAAAAGACTGTTGGAATTGTCTCACTATCGCCATATATAAGTGTTAAACTTAATGTAGCCCTGTAGCCCATCATTGTTGAGTGGCTTCTTAGTTTTTGGAGTTGTAGTGCTAAGTAAGTTATTCTGATGACTACATTTTAACTTTTATTACAAACTAATGATGCTAGGGATTCTCTGATCTTTTTGGTTGCGGAATTTTTATGAAAATCCTCTTATGTGTGACATGATGTGATATTGGATAATTCTCAAGATTCCCAAAATTCAATATCAAGTAGGTTTTCATTCACATTGCTTAAATTTGGTTTAGTTTTTTGTATTTTCCCAGTGGGTTTTGTTTGCATCAGTTTCCAAATTTTCTTAAATTGACATTAGTCGCAAAACCCATAGTGCACAAAGCTCTTGGCCCGGCCCGTCCATAGCCCGTTAACTAATGATATTTGGGGGCCCGGCCCAGCCCGTAGCCCAGCCCGGCCCATGGCCCGTTGGGCTGGCCCGGCCCGTGGCGAACACTGGAGTGGAGGTAGGCTGTCCCGCACTACACCAAAGTATGACGGTACTTACACCCTGTAACAGACGGAGTGGATGTAGGCTGTCCCGCACTACACCAAAGTATGGCGGTACTTACACCCTGTAACAGACGGAGTGAAGGTAGCCTGTCCCGCGCTACACCAAAGTATGGCGGTACTGTAACAGACGGAGTGGAGGTAGGCTGTCCCGCACTACACCAACGTATGGCGGTACACAATACACAATTACACACCAAAGCAGACAGGGAGTCGGAGGTAGGCTGTCCCGCACTACACCAAAGTATGGCGGTAGGTACTTACACACTGTAACAGACGGAGTAGAGGTAGGCTGTACCGCACTACACCAAAGTATGGCGATACTTACACACACTTATAACAGACGGAGTGGAGGTAGGCTGTCCCGCACTACACCAAAGTATGGCGGTACTTACACACTGTAACAGACGGAGTGGAGGTAGGCTGTCCCGCACTACACCAACGTATGGTGGTACACAATACACACCAAAGCAGACAGGGAGTCGGAGGTAGGCTGTCCCGCACTACACCAAAGTATGGCGGTACTTACTGTAACAGACGGAGTGGAGGTAGGCTGTCCCGCACTACACCAAAGTACGGCGGTACTACACACACTAGCAGATAGAGAGCCAGAGGTAGGCTGTCCCGCACTACACCAAAGTACGGCGGTACTTCCACACACACAAATAACAGACAGGGAGTGGAGGTAGGCTGTCCCGCACTACACCTAAGTTTAACGCCCGGTACTTACACATTATAACAGACAGGGAGTGAGGATGGTCTGTCCCGCACAACACCGAAGTACGGTGGTATTTACGCACTATAGCAGGGAGTGGAGGTAGGCTGTCTTGCACTACACCAAAGCATGGCGGTACAAGACATTTGCGTCGATTTGTGATCGACCGCAACTGGGCTGGGTACCGCGCTCCCAAATTGCGACGGAATGCAGCATTTTCGCGAACAATGATATATTGACGAGAAGCACGAGCGACGTCTGCAGTCCTCGGGAACGAGAACAAATAGTATGGCGAAGGCTAGTATGTTTGAAATCATCAAGGATGAAGGAACTGTTCGACTAACTGTTCCGTGTATATCCTTGGAGTATAACCATTTCGCTCACATTCTATTATTCGCCCGGATAGTTCGGAATTGTGTAATGTAATCCCTCCTCGGCGCTGAGTAATCTGGAACTCGGCCTTGCAAGGAAATCCACCAGGATATTGCTCGCCAGGATGTACGCACAAGGCTGAAAGCATCCAACGTCCGGTTTCGCAAGACGATACGAGTCTGATGTAATTGCTTTCTTTGCCGATAACTTTATTTTGCAGAGCATACAACAACAGTATACAGGTTTGCAAAAACAACATCCGGCTACATCGATGAATAACTGGGAGGAACTGAACCATAATACGTTTCCATATAGTGTGTGAATGATTGCTTGCAGGTGCGAAAAAGAGAAAAGATTTGAGTTTCCAATTTTGTCCTTTAGCATTCAATACGTAGCATGCTCTTCTAGATATTGCCTACATTTTTTTTTCGCTTGGACTTATTGTATTATGCTGGAAAAGAAATTGTTCAATAAAGATTAGGTATTTTGCTTTTATATCTTTTTTCCAAACATTTATTTCACATAGACATGAAACCTCCAAAAAGAGGCTAGGCACGCAACTCAGATCAAAGCAAAAAAAAAAACAGCTAGTCCCAGTGCTCCTTACAATCCCTCATCTCCCACCCCTTCTGCGAAAAAAAGCACAGACAAACATCGCCGTCCGGCCCGATGCCATTGATGCCACACTCTCAACATTCGGATGTTTGGAAACGTCCAGATCACATGGTCAGCGGCTGCAGTGGCTGCCCACACAGATGGTCAGGCTACATTTTGCATTGATATTGCCATGATATTGCCTACATTTTGCATGGCTCCGGGAGCCTTACACAAAATATCAATTTTTGAACAATCCGAACAGTCATTGCCATTTGCGTCAAACGTTTACCTGTAAGAATTACATTACTTATTATCACAATTTGATAAAATCATGGGCACCGCAAGACGATTAAACGGGGACACAACATACCGGTGGTTGTCGGACTCGGTAACACTAAATCCTCTAAATCAATGGTGACAGCGCTGGCGGCTTTCGGTGGACATTTCTCTCTATTTTTACACAGTCATCATCGCAGATGGGACGCCGGGTGCCGGCTCACCGGCGGACGGCACCCAGCCGCAGCCGTAATCCCCCCAAATAACATACCGCCGTGCTTACGGCCGCGGCCGCGCCGGTCGGCTGTAAATAAGGCTGAGTGTCCGCCAGGACCGGAGTGCCAGGGGCCCAGCGGTGAGCCGGCCGCGGTATGTGCCGGGCGCCGGGCGCGGTGGGCCGTAGCTCGCCGCTCTGCAGTCCTGTCGCGGTGTCATGTGCGCCGGGCGTGATCCCGGAGCGTCGATGGGCTGTTCGACAGTCTCCTCGGCAGGCTCCCGCCGCCAGTCGCCGTGCTGTCAGCCGGGACTCGGCAGGACTCTGACCGTCCTCCGTTCCCGCTGCGCCGCGTCCTTGGCTGGCCCGCTGCAGGAGCCCCCAGCAGTTTCATGGACACCCTGCTGTCGGAGGGCGCTGCGACCGGGGACTGCCCGCACGCTGAGCCTCCCGGAGGCTGCTGGGTTACGACCGTCGTCTTGCGTCTCATGTATAGGTGCATGTGCTTAGCTGGCGACGATGAGATCACAAAGACGTCACCGATGTAGCTGCGGGCGGGCGATCCGGGCACCAGGAGCATCCCCCTGACAACAGGCCCCGGCTCAGCGCGGCACGAGTCGCCGCGGGTTCACCTGTACCGGCGGCTCCAACCGATTGTGTTCGCCTTGTTATCCACGGTAGCGATAAACGATTATCTCCGCGGTATGTAGTCAAAACATCGTCTTTACAGGATAAACTGCAAAGTCCTTACAGATACATCTCAGTGAATATCGTAATCAATCAATTGCTTACAATTCTAAGAAACTGGCAGCATCAAACCTTCGTTGTCTTTTCTGCCAAGACTATCAGGGCGGACGCCTGACGAAAACAAAAGGGCCTTAGTCAAAATCCTCTATAAATGATACCAGATGTAGCCCTCATATGAAATTTATCCCAGGAAAAGCTCTTTTATATAGCATGCAGAGAACAGACCTCTAAAATGTAGGCGCCGCACATATGGCGTTCGCCGTAGTTCTCTACACATGATGTCAGTAATAAACACAATAACCACTGTTACATAACATCACTGTTAGATAACGTCTTTCGCAACAGTTATCCCTATATGCAGAGGACATCAGTCGTACTACAGAGAGCCCCTTACGTAAATGGTGTCAAATGCAGGCTGCCTCTCTCTAGTCTCTACAGACGTCAGCCGCAGTCCTCTACGGGTGACGTTATTCACAGACCTCTAGCCTCCAGGGCCGACGTTAGCTCACGCAGTCCCCTCGCTGTAGTCTCTTGCAGATGGAGTCAGCTGCAGTATGTACTCTAGATGCAGCCCCCTACAGACGGACTCAGTTGCAGTCCTCTATCTCTAGTCCCCTACAGACGGACTCAGTTGCAGTCCTCTATCTCTAGTCCCCTACAGACGGACTCAGTTGCAGTCCCCTATCTCTAGTCCCCTACAGACGGACTCAGTTGCAGTCCTCTATCTCTAGTCCCCTACAGACGGACTCAGATGCCGCAGTCCTCTATCTCTAGTCCCCTACAGACGGACTCAGATGCCGCAGTCCTCTATCTCTAGTCCCCTACAGACGGACTCAGTTGCAGTGCTCTATCTCTAGCCTCCTACAGATGACTTCACTCGGAGTGGAATCGAAGCCGCTTAGTCGGCCGCAAGGTACGGCCAACAAAAGGCCTCCAAATATGGATGGGCTATAGTCCACCGAGCCAAGGTCCGCACTGGCCCGCGTGCCTTTGGCTGATTTGCCTACGACGGCTAAAATTGCTGGTTATATAACGATATCTGAATATTATTTGATTTCAGCGGAATGCGTGTTGTGTGACACCTTCATTAGGCCGGACAGCGTATGATTTTATCTGGCATCAATTCTACGTAACTTTTTTGGTGTTTTACTATATGTTTCATGGAGGTGATATAAATGTTGGGCACTCTGTAAATGAGTATCATCTGCTTTCTTCCTTTACTCAACTTTCCGTTAGAATAAAAATCCGTATACCTTGAAATACTTATGTAGGGGAGGGTGGGGCAAAGCGGCCACCCGGGGCAAAGCGGCCACCCATCGTTTTAGCCCTTCATAGCTGGCGTCAGTTCCAATTTATGGTTTCCAATTATACTTCTCTTCACGGTCGTTCGAATGAGCCAGACCGGGGTTTCAGGCCCATCACCATTGTTCTGTGAAACACGGAAAAGCATTTCTTGCTAGGTTACCAACTATGTTTACAATTTTTAAATGTTATGTTGTTCCATAACCGTTTGGAATTTTTATAAGCGTTCTTGTCCATGCATTGCATGGTTATCGTACATGTATTCTACCAATTTTAATGTTTTTTACCCCACTAATAGCTAAGCTGGAATATTGTTGTCTCGGACGGTATGCGCGGGGCAAAGTGGCCGGGGCAAAGTTGCCACCCCCCCAATTGGTCATAAGTTGTTTCCATCTGGATAAAAAACATTATTTATATTCAAATGTGTCGTCATGCATTCATCTTGGCCACTTTTCAGTTGCATTAGCCACCAAATAATGCAATTAAATGGTTTTTTTTCATGAAAATCCTTTCTTTGTTTACCTACAGGTGGAAGATGATAAAGTAAACATCCATCCTCGCTTAACCTTGTCACCATCAAATACCCTAGTCGTACACGAGGCAACTATTTTGTTTCTCATATCGGGACTTGAGGAGACGCCGGTGGCCGCTTTGCCCCAGGGTATGGGGCAAAGTGGCCAATATGCATAGGTTTAAAGTTTTGTCAATATCTTTCATATGTGAACGCCTTTGGAAATAAAACGCAGTTGAAATAAAAGGCAACTTAATAGGGATCACATTGGTATAGAAAGAATCTTTCCAAGTTTAAAAATCAAGCATTGGCATCGTGAGAAGCGTTAGGGTGGCCGCTTTGCCCCACTCTCCCCTAGTACAAAAGTTATCAGCGGCATAGGATGCAAGTGATCACAAAATATGCAGGTTTGGCGACATAGCCGAGAAGTGCGACCCATAAATCGTTCAGGTATCTTGCACTTACATATGTTCCCCTCTTTCGAATGAGAGTTTCACTCAAATTGTATGAGTTCACGACAGTGATAAGAGCCAATTTCGGCTGTACTTACATAGTGTCAAGTTGGAGCTGAAATGTGATTTCGTCAATAGCTTTTTAAATTACTAAAAGTCAGTAGGTAATGATCATGACAGCGTTAGCTCGCTTAAATGTGGCCATATGATCAACGTCATGAACTGAAGTATTTATTTATGATGCTATTTATCGAAAGAAATAAATTTTGTTCGACTGGAGGGGTAGTGGTAAATATCGGAGCCCCCAAGGATGTTCTAAGCTCCAACAGGCGACGTGACAGCACCCAACAATCCAGCGCTTGGAGGGGGATTTACACCTCACATCTCTCATGACATTCGCGCTCCATGGACATCGGCAGTGCCTACATTAAAGAGAGTAATCAATCAAGTCTGCATGACATTACAATGGGTGACAATGTGGCGGAACACACAGATGAGCTTTCACCTCCCTCCATAACAGGTAAGCTACATAGAAGGAAGTCCCGTCCGGAAAGGAACGTCAAGGTCCCGCATCACAACATGACTGACTTCCGATCGCCCTGACATGAGGGTGGATCCGCGCCGAGCCAGCAGGAGGCGGACGGCGGGCGGGCGCTTCCCGATCGGCATCTGTGACACTCTCCTCACCCCAGCCGGAACAGACCTTCACCTTGTGACTCCGGCGGCCAGGGAGCAGGGCTCGACCTGCAGCCTTGAGCGGCGGCAGTGACCGGCCGGCCGGCGGTGCCTGACCGGCCGGCCGGCGGTGCCTGACCGGCCGTCTGCCGCCCGGGGCGCTGCATCGGCGCGAGCTTCTGCGAACGCGCTCCGGGCCGCCCCCTCAAGGTGACAGGGCCGGTGGCGAGCCGGCTGGGCGGCCCGACTCGGCCAGATTCTGCCGGACTCCGCTGGAGCTCGCACCTCCCCGACTCCGCTCCGGGCGGCAGACGTGTTCGACGCGATCACCGCGACACACGGCGGTCACACCACTCCCCATAGACAGAGAGTACCCACTAACCGCCCTCTGCCGCTCACCAGGAACTGAGTATTTCCTGAGCGATAGTCCAAACCCAGCCACCGTCTGTCCTTCGGCGTGAGCTCGAATCCAGCACCCTATCTCTCCACCCCACCTCTCCCTTCCCTCGGCCATGTGGTCCACACTGCTGCTGTTCAGCCTGGCCCGTCTGGCGCCGAGCTCCGCCGCCGCTCCGGAGACCGGCCTCCACTGCGCAGACGCCGTGTGCGCCGGAAACGCCACCTGCTTCATCAAACTCAGCAGCGGAGAGCCCGTGTGTATCGGTAAGTCGCCGGCGGGCTGAGTCAGGTGTGTGTGCGGGGTTTGACGTAACCATGACACAAGAGGGGACAATTCGGACTGAGCAGTGACAATGACATGAGCAGGCTCCTGGTGAGGAATGAACTCACGCTGACTCTTATCAACCCCCTTCAAAGGTTATAAATATTTTCATAAAGCCGCTCTACATTTGAAGAACGAGTTGACGAATAAGTGCACTAATTAAAAACTTGACGACTGTCATTTAAACCGAATCAATCTGTTTCTTTTATTGAAGCATTTCACTTTCGGTCCCCGACATCCAAACACCTTCGATTTGATTAGGAAAGTAGCCTATAGTATTTGCTCATTTACTCGTTTTACTGACTCATTTTATCTCCTGGTGTTCACCTAGATTGTTCAACAATCTAATAGAAGCTGTGAGCTCAATAAATGCGAGTGAGGTGAACACCTTAAAAACATTTAAGGTGTCACGTTTCCAACCAAAATAAAGTGCCAGGTATTTACGCAATTTCTTTAGTTGCAAAGTACCGAATAAGCTGGCAAACTCTCAAACTCTCCGCATAGCAAAACGATTCCTACGCCAACAACTCCAAAACACATGTTAGTGTAGGCTATTGGATAGCTCAATGTAGCAATAAATTGGTGATAGTTGAATAGTTTCATTTCAAAACTAGCAAGAATAGAGCCCGTCTTTTTCAGTTTTCACCATCGATATGGGTCAGACTCAGGTTAGAGTGACGTAGCGACACATAGGAGTTTGTGATTGGGAATAGTTAAAACGCGTGGTGGAAGGAGGGGGGGGGGGGGGGTGGCAAATTTCGCCCGCCCCTCCTGTTTTTCGCAAATATCTCACGCCGTAATCATTCTTTTAATGTCAGAATTTCAGTACATGCCTAAGCTTAAATTTTGCATCTGCCCGTCAGAAAACAGTAAGTAAGTCAGTTGACAAATTTATTAATGGGGGTGTAAAGTCAAAAGTCCCACCAGAGCGGCGATGCGCCGGCCAGCGCCGACCGATCCTCGCTACTCGCGCCAGACGGTTCCGTCTTTGCATTGCGCTGCTTACTGCTGCTAGTGATCTATTCGCGTCAAGATCTCTGTGAAGACTTAGGAATATACAGGTAATCTTATGGTAAAAGAAACTTACGAAAATCAGCAGGTAACATTTTTAGTTACGAGTGTGTAAACACAAAATTGTGATTGAAACGTTTCCGCGTCGGCTGCCCCCGCCTCAACCGGAAGACATATCACTCTTAGAATATTTCTAATTGCTTTTATTATGGCTGGTTTAACTATAAATTCTTAATTACTATTATAAAGGCACTCACTAAAAATAAGAAAAAATAAGTTAATAGGAAAATAAGAAATAAAAGTACCTCTACAACGTTTTCGTCGTATAGTGAAAGAAACAAGAAAATGGTCTGTTCATTTTTGAAGTATGAGTGCTTAAACAAACAATAGTCCCTCATGTGGCTAATAGGACCCCATTTGACCTTATTTGACGCTGGAGTTATTGACCAAGTATCATTAAATTAACCTACAATAGAGTTCCTCACCACCCACCCTCCCAATTTCGTCTTTAGTTGGCTTCCATCGAAGCTGAGATCTTAGGCCGACCCCCCCCCCCCCTTCCACTGGGCATAGTTCTCGGAGCCCTTCCATTGCGCGTGTTAAATGTTGCTGAGAATATCGGGCTTTTCCAAACTTTCAAACTATACGCTCGTTGCTTCTGAGTTTCGTGTGCGCTGTGACGAAGACTAGAACGGCAGATCTCTGTCGATGCGTCGTCCATATGAACAGAAGCCGCAGTTGTCATTTCATAGGAAGAGATCATCTATCGACTGAAGATTCTCAGATTAGAGATGATCGTAGTTCCAATAATTTGTAATGTTCTTCGTATTGCCACTTTCGAAGAAACCACAACGCGCCAGGCCACGAATGTCCAGCGCTGCGCAGTTATTGCTTATAGTGATTTATTTGGACTTGAATGCATGTCCGACTTATTCACCACGTCTTTCACTCTATCATTCCTTGAATGATGTGCGCCTCTTGGTTGAAACAACATGCGTTTTACATTAAAACGAACTGTTACCTTGATTTGAGTGTGATTTCAGGTACAAGAGAATAATTTTACAGCGGTGTATTTGCTTTGTGCGACTATGTCTGTGTAAATATCACAATTGAAAAGCTCTTTGGCAGCAAAAATCACTTCAAGCGATAAGATAAAATGCACTAGCACTTATTATTCTACCAGCTTTGCTTAGGCTTGTATCATTGAATAATACCGTATACCACGAATATGCCGTTTGAAATAGCTGCCTCTCAAGCTGCATACCATCCTCATGAGCATTTATGATTGATGCTAGATGCAAGAGAATCATAAGCTGCAAATAAATTTTATGACAATATGATACCGTCATGCAATTTGTGTGGTTGTGCAATGAAGGGTTCTGCTGAGACCTTGTGCCGGTGCTCAGCTGGACGCCGGTAGCCAGTTAGCCACCTCCGCTGGCTGTGATAAGCCGCTCAGCCCATCCCAGTAGCACGGAATCAGCCGGTCGGCCGCATAACGTTTTCAGAACCCGTAGTCTTATCCTCGCCGCTCCCCGGCTCTTTGGCCGGGGATATCACCACCGCAGGTAAATGCACGGCATTTAATACCTGACTTTTGCAGCATTACTCTGTCCTATCCATTCAGCGCTGTTCTGTGAGCTGCCGACAATATTCTGTTCTTTTCGTCGGGACATGATCCATCCTTCCCGCGACGTGTCACTTCTATCCACCGTATGGACCTCCTTATCGGGGAATCGCAACCCCTCCCCGGAATGGATGGTCACTTGTCTTATGGTGAAACTGTCATACGAGAGTGCAGAAGAGGCAAAATCGGGCTTTACCCGAATCTTTCCGTCGTGCTAATTTTCATCATTTGCGGAAATGTTAAAGAAAACAGCAATTTTAAAATGGCTCTCGTTCCAATGCTTCCAACGGCCCTTATATGCAAGTATGTAGTTATGTGTCTTGTATAATAGTTTTATTTAATATTCTTCCTGTGCGTCTTACATAATCTTTCAACGATGCAAGCGTGCTTTCTCCATGCAAACTTACCAATGTTCTTTTTCGGAGCAGCTTTGTAATATAAGAACAGCGCAAAATGTCATTCCTGCACGCCGTTTTGTGCTCTTCCCGCCGTGGTTCAGGGTTTCGTTGAATATTTAAGTCATTTTCAATAGGCATCTATGCGGTATGCCAAATCGCGATAAGAGAGATTCTTTGAGTGAAAGATAGCCAACCAAGCTCCATAAGTCGTATAAACGGTTTAAATGTAACGGCTTAAGAACAACTTAGCCTGCATAAATAGCATGACACTCTGCGATGATCCAGCAATCTGCAACGGCTTTAAATATAAATCATTTAATTATTGCGCAAGCAACGTTCTGATATAATCTTTGATGATCGTCAGGGACTGAAATCCTTATCTTAGTGCGGTACATTTAGATATGATTATCTCTGCCATTGCATGTTAATGTACGCCATTCGATACTCGACACCTGAAATATTCCGACTAATTTCAGCTAATTCGTATTAATACTTGGAGGTAATCAAATATCCAGCTACCTTGTCAAGGTCATTGTCGTTCGCAGATCCCTATAAGTGGCCGCGTGTGACGTGCCCTCTGTTCAACCATGGCGCAGTATGCTGGTACGTTCGCAGCAATTTGGCAAGGCTGCAGCTCCGGGCGGGTGGGACGGCGTTTAATTGCCGGATTATCCTTCGGCTATCTTGTCGGCTGTCGTCGCCATCTGACCCGAACATCGGCTAATCTGACCCGGCCGATTGCGCAGCGGCTCTGCACTGACACAGCTCGCGCGTGCCCCGGTGCTGCAATATAAATCAGATACAGAGGTGGGCCGCTAAATAGGTAATTTTTGGATTGTAAGTACCACAGCGAGAGGTGGTGTAACTTAGGGATAACTGACCGAAAATCTTATTGCATTTCGAGCCACAAATGTTATAGTTTTTCAGGCACACTGAACGTTTGGGACCGCTACAATTAGCCCACCGTCCGCTTAGCACCGTTCTCAGGGACAACACATCCCTTTGACGTCGTTTCCATTGACATCGCACCCATAAATCATCATTTCCAGTGGCTCTGTGTTTCTTTAGCACTGTTTCCAGTGGCACCCCGTCTGTAAGCAGCGTTTCCAATGTCAGTACACCGCACGACCTCGCATCCCGCGCCGCACATGAATGATTCACACTCGCGGCCGGACCTGGCGGGCTGTCGGGAGCCTCTGGGAACTTCCGGCATCACCGGCAGATCTGCCGATACCTCTGTGAGCAGAGGATCCCCGCGAGGGTCCGGGGAGGGAAGGGCGACCCCTGACCCACCCCTCCCTGACCCTGAGCTGCCGGCTGGCAGCAGGCCCGCTGATCGGTGGTTGGAGACCGGTATCAGCAGACAATACGTGTCCGGAGAGACACACCTGTGGGCAGGGGTACGAGACTGATGGTGAGGGGTGGTTGTGACTGTCAACTCCGGGGTAGAGGTCAGGCACTGGTCATGCAGGCTATATGGGGTTCTGACTATCACCTACAAGGGAGAGGACAAATATTGACGGACAAGTGGTGAAGTTTAGTGACTGGGCAGCACCTCTGAGCTATCAGCTAGAGCTGAGGTGCAAGTTTGAAAAATAATGGGAAGGGGCGGCAACTGGATATAACCTCCAAGCTAGAGGTCAGGTTGCTAGCTTGGTACACGGATTTAGCGGCTGTGATGGCGACAGTCTGATGACAGCGATCTCCACCCCCGACTGGACAGTGGACGTGCAATGGGCGGGACTTGCTAACAGAGTTATAGTGCAATATTTTCTTACAAAAACATGTGCTCCTGGATAGGCAACGGTACTTTTGTGGCTGTTTGTGAAATAATCCCAGGGGCGGGCATCAGCAACAGGTGCTTAAACACAATTTAATCAAATGTCAATAAACCGCACGATTTCTGCAATTATAAAATTTACGATAGGTTTTTCATTCCAGTGGGCAGCATTAATATGATAGATTCAGTAAAACAACGCAGCGTACCTATTATTCCAGCATGATCGTTATCAATTCTATGAATGTGTGCTGCGGATGGGTTACGTTAACTGCCAGCTGTTATCTTACAACTGGGTTTCAAAGAACCAAGCTTGTTGATGCATGAGGGTTTGATGTAATCCGATCATATCCAATATACTAGTCTAATATACTAATATACTAGTAGGTACAAAAGTGCACTGGCTAGTGGCTGGTGCATTTTATCAAGTAAATTCTACGCAAGAACGTTTTCTTAGATGATCGGTCTTCGATTCGGGGAGACGGATGGTTCAAACCAGGACTGACGCTAAACCACTAAGCCAAACTTGTCATGTTGTTTTGATCTGTACCGTTAGAAGTAAAACTACTGAGCACCCCCCCCCCCCTAAAAGCAGATGGGCTTTGTCGCAGTGCTTCAAAGCAACAATCACCAAACTCAGACATCTTGTTTGAGTTGTAGATATCAAGTGTGAGAGTGGCTCGAACTCTGGCTTCTTTCTTGCATAGATCCATTTTGTCGCAACCATGTTGCAAACGGCTAAAACAGTATTATTTCTTGATTTCAAAATTGCGTTTACGTTTATCATTCATGGGAACGCGCTCATTGGTAATGCTTAACATTGGATAATCTACCGTCAGATGATCTAACAAATTAATGTTTCCGGTTTTCTGCATACAATTGGCAACACTATGCAGATAGTATCTACATCACGTTCGAAGCTCATCAATGCCCCGACCCTCCGCATTGCAGAAGCACATTGTGCCGAGTCCATTCAAAGGAACTGCTATTTGTATCTGTAAGACATTAACATGCATTCATACCAGTTACAGCCAACATACAGCTGACAGCATGTAACGGTTTGTTCGCCGTCACTGGAGCTCCGTCAGCCACTCGAGTCGTCTGTAGTATCTGGCCCAGGCAAAAACCTGCCTCCACCCGACCTCCCGACGCGCTGGACTATTGACAGCGCCGCGCCGGTGCTTTGTATTCCCACCCAGTGGCGATGAACTGTCGTGTGCCGATCGGCGGGCCTTCCGGCGCGCGCGGCACACTCTGTTCCGCGTTGTTCGAGGAGCCCGTCCGACAGTGGAGACTCGTGTTCCGCGTGTCTGAGGACCGGAGGGTCTGATCTCGGGGACCTCACCGATTGATCAGACCCCACAGCGCGCGCGGCTACGCCGCACAGTCCGGACTTTCCACGTATCACCAGCACACGTCACATTGTGGGCGCAGAAACTGACGTGGCTTTTAATACACGCGTCAGACGGAGACGTTAATCAGTTTAATCAGGCAAAACTATGCGGAGAACTGGAAATAATTACGCATGTTATATACGCAAGGACGTTAAGTCCGTCTTAGTCACCGATATTCCGCGTATTTTCCGCAATGCGGCGCCATAGCTATTGAAAATAAGCGCATGTTTGGTCTGCGGATATCAGCTCCGTGGGCTGCTGATGACAGTTTCACTCTGACAGTTTACAGTTAAAATATATAGCTACATAAAGTCCTGCGATACACCGCATTGAGCTTTTGAATCGAGCTGAAGAGAGACAGCCAATTGACGAATGGCTCAAGGTTATTCCTGTCATGAGCCGTAAATAAACTGTGAAAAAAAATTTAAATGGATAATCAAAGATATGTTTTGATTGACCCTTCCGTGTGTTTTGTTCCAGGTCGGACCAAGGTCGGTACCTGTCCGTTCACACAGCTGGCCGGCTGCGATGAGGTCCAGATGACGTGTATGTCGGACGACGACTGTCCCGGCTCTAAGATCTGCTGCCAGAAGGACTGCGAACGAGTCTGCATGGAGCCAGGTCAGTCTCTCCGAATACAGAAATTCGGTCAGTCAACAGTCCTCAGTAGGCTAGTGGGTCTCAGCTGTCGCCAAGGTTAGGTCATCTCATTTGTCAACTAAGACAGCTTGTCCAGGGCGTCGGGTACTCTACCGACACAGCCAAGTCAGTCAGTCCTCTGCTAAAGTTGGGCTAACGAGACAGATCTACATGGTGCAGACATTGTGACCTTGGAGGCCGATCAGTTAGTCGTCAGCCTCCGGTTACTCTTGACCCAGAGGTGAGCCTGCTCTAGGTTTGTGTGATACAGGCCACAACAAGCATACATTTATGTATAGCTGGTCTGGGGTTGCAGTAGAACTCGGCGGCGTAGGTTCACCTCCGCCCGGCCGCCGCCGCGGCCCGTGTTGACCGCAGTTAGGCATTTGGCGCTGATGGGCCGTTGGCAGGTGGCGGACCGTTATCTGTCCACTGCGGCGATCCTATCTGGTGGCGGTGGCTTACCGGCCCGGCGGCGCTCGGTGCCGCGCGGGAGGCCGTCCCGCCGGCCTTGTGCGCCGCGCCGGACCCCGGGCAGGGGGTGCTCCCCTCCCCCGTCTTCTCGGCGTGCCAGGCACCGCGTCGGTCCGGGCGGCGCAGGGGGGGGGGGCTGCAGACGGCCCCACTCTAAGCCGTCGATCGGTGGTCGGCTGACAGTGAGCGCCGACTGCCGGCTGTGGTCGGACGGGCTGAGACGGCCACCCGGCGTCTGCCGCGCTGAGCTGACCAGCGACCACCCGGCGGTGGGCTGCTGGCTGAGCTGGTCGGACGAGGGTGCTGACTGCTGAGCTGGTTAGCTGTGGATCTGTACATATACAGACCTCAACTCTCCACTCTATAGAGTTGAACTGGTCGCCAGTTTTTTCAGTTAAAACGAAGAAAAAGTCTCGAGAGCTCTTCTTTATCAGACTCGATTGGATTGTTATGATGCCGTTTGCCGGTTGGTTACTTCCTAATGTCCCTTGAACAGATCAAGATGAGACATTCTTTTTTATCTCAATTGCACCAAACATTCAGGGCACAACATTGAGACTTGATAAAATATTTATAGAATGCGTAACCCCTCGCTTAGGTATCACTCGACGTGCCGTCAACGACTCTTTATGCAGCAGCTCGCCTGCTGTTATACTCGCAGGGAATTGATCCTTTCGATTGCAGTTTTTATCCCAAACGGGAAGTGTTTCTGTCCCCAAGGGTATTCAGGGTGTTGGGCGATCCGATTCATTACATAACAGGGTAAAGGCATGCCAACTAAAAAGTTATTCTCAGCGTGAAAAACGGGATAACTTCAGTCGGGCTCAGTGATCCAAGCAAAGTGAGATTTACATTGTTATCTACTAAGAGCTGCTGCTACAAAGCCTTATAAAAGAAGTGAAACTGGAAGTCCATTCAGATGTAATCCACTTTGTGTGTCCGCTAATTTTACGCTGCCATTTTTACGATTACACGAAGCCTAGTTCTGAGCTCGAGTTTACAGCGTTTGGGCCGTAATGATGAATTCTGGAGATTATTAGCCTCAGCTCGACCTTGCAGGACTGTCGAGTCTCGTCTGAATATGACGATGACCTCTAGCACCAAGCGCTCTAACAATTTATTAAGCAGTGAGCTATGAACTAATCCCACAACTTTTAAAATCTCGACCAGATAAATGACGTATCTTGCGGGCAGTTCTCAGAAGTGCACCCGAATGGCGACCTCTGAATAAGTCAGCGGGCTCGCGGGGAATGTCTGTGGGTGTCGTCAGCTGACGGACAGGTTTGGCGATATCTGTCGACCTGACAAGGTCGGGTGAGCCCGCCGATACCGTCCGAGGGCCGGCATGCCTCAGGTCAGGGTGGACACTTCAGCCGAGTTGGAACTGGGATTGCAATGCATTGTTACAAGAGAGATGTGATGCAATGCAATGCTTGATTTTTCGAAGATGAAATTACTCGTAGCGAAGGATACAAATACAGTAATCCTGAAATTGAAATAATGTTGTAAATTTTAGATTTAAGCTAGCGCTCACTCGAGAAAGTCCAAACTGTACGGTCACACCAGGCCAAGGGTTCTGCATTCGCCCATGCCTCTCATGGCTTCTAATTATTGATACAGTGGCACTAATTTTTATGCAAAACTGATAACTGCCCTCTATTTCAACACAAGACATCTTCATGAAGTGAATATTCAGTATCAACAACGGAACGAGTTCCTGACGAACTTGTCAATGACATCATGCACCTGACATAACGTGAATGTCCTTCGACCACGTGACCTGTGACTCGCGACACTGGCTCCCCACTGTCCGCATGTCACCTGATACGCCGAGGTCACGTGACACCCAGCGCCTTGGCTGTGACCTTGGTGCTACCACTGCGGTTGCCGGTGACATGGACGATGACACGGCTCCTGGCGTCCGGGGCTGTTACACCAACTGGCCTGTCACGCCATCGCTAATAACGCGATTGTTGTGTCAGTTAACGCGTGGGCTGGTCATTTTCCGACTTCCGAGTCAGTAATTATGAGCCTTTTATCAAATGACAGGCAGTTCATGTGACTAAGCTGTATGGTTAGAAGAAATTTTGTCGTGAGAGCCTGAAGGAGATGGATAGACATGACCCTTGTTGCCTGATGCATTGGACAGTCTTGGAGAGACAGATTATACCAACTGCCAAACCACGGCAACAGCATACACTCGCTAATCCATTGAGCTATAAAGCTCAGAACTGCTATTCTTTGAGGGAAACTCATTGTTGGTCATTAATTCAATATTTCATGGAAGAAGGATCACTTAGTGACTTATCATTTAAACGTTCTCGCGAAGGTAAACTTCCCATTTTAGGAACTCTAAATGTCTTTTGATTGACGCATCTCCCGATGAAATCAATGATAATAAATCATTTTTACCTCTTTGGATAACGATGATTTTCCAACCAAACCAAGCGTGCAATGGCCGCAACAGTTTGCTCTGTGCTGGGAAGTTCACACAACACGCCCATTCTGAGAGTTTTAAATATGCATTCAGTTATTTAGCTTTCATTTAACCTGTCACGTTCATCCATCATCTGACCTTGTGACCTGACCTGACCCGACCTGACCTTTTCGGTGTGTTTCAGGGGAGGACGTGCCGAAGCCGGGCCACTGTCCGTCCCGGTTCGCGTTCGGTCCGTGCGTCCACGAGTGCGGTCAGGACGGGGAATGTCCCGGCAGCACCAAGTGCTGCAGCACCGGCTGCGGCAAAATCTGCTCCTCGCCATGTGAGTTGAAAAAAAAACAGATCAATGCGCATATATCTTTTTTGTGTGTAAAATATGTTACTGACCGTCTGTGCGGAAACGAGAATCTCAACATTTGATTAATCGGGGTCGAGTGAAATTTGTTGTCATTTTTTTGTACGTCATATTATCCGCGCAGTTCAACTTATTTCTCATTACCGGCTGATTCCTGACTTCGGCTACGCACGCGCCGTTTCTTTCAGACCTGGCCAAGCCAGGCTCATGCCCCGTGCCCTCCCTGGGTCGCGGTGCCAGCTGTTCCATCGAGTGCTCCATTGATGACCAGTGTCCGGGCGAGCACAAGTGCTGCTCGACCGGCTGCGGGCGCGCCTGTGTTCCGCCCAGCGGAGAGCACATCTGCCCGCGCGGCACCACCTTCTACAACAAGTGCAACAAGTGCACGTGCAGCGACGTGCACGAGCCGGTCAGCTGCGAGAGTAACATCTGCGCCAGAGGTGAGCGGCGGCCCGGCGGCCGGCCGGGGCGCGCGGCCGCGGCGTAATTGTTCTGTGGATAGGTGTAAATATGTAGATGGGAGATATAATTATTGAGGAAACCATTTCCAATCCACACGCTTATGATGCATCTAAAAAAGCGCTCCCAATCGTTGTTTTTACTGCGCGCCACCGCTATACGCCATCCCCAATGTCAGCCGAGCGTCCGTGTGTTGCGGGACAGTCTAACAGTGCAGTTGAAACCACGGCACGCTGAAACGGCTGCCTGCCTACTGTGCTTGCCGTGAGGGCTGCTACTGAGGCTTAAAACTGGGCGTTTCAAACGGCAGGCATTTTAGCGGGACGCTTCACTCGCTCATGTGCAGAGGTACAGCCCATACCTGTCCGTTTCAACTTTGTTGCCATACAAAGACAGACACGCATTTGCAAGCAAGATGGTTTTGAGAAGAAAATAATAATGAAATGACGCAATCCCTGTAAGGGTCAGCTCTGGATTAACTGCCATAGCACCTGCATTTCTCTTTATCCGACGTGACTAGGAGATTCTAGAGGAACGGAAGTCTCTTTGATTCACGATCCGCTCAGTCAATCGGTGAACAATATACCACCAAGAAATACCCCGCTGAACATTGAACAATCACCGATAATCCACAGAGACCCTCCACTATACTGCGAGAGGCTCTCGCTACCTGCATGCAGGACGCCCAAGGAATGCCGTATTGTTCCGAACGTCTATTCTCCACTGACTCATCGTCGATTATGCAATTCTCTGACCGAAAACATCTCATTGTGCGAGCAACTCACAGAGATTTCAAATCAGTCACGCCTTTGTGTAAAACAAAATCGACAAAATTAAGCAAAAAGCTAGCAGAACATCACGTTGAGCGCACGCTGTCAAGTTTTCCATGCATCCATGTCATTTTTGTTTTCGGGCAACAGATATTTTTCCATCACAAATGGCTTGCTTATTGCTCAATCCGAATCAGTATACCTATGTACAGTCTATCTTAAAAGTACCGCGCAAAGTAACGGTGGATCCATCAAGCCTGACCGAGGAAGGGTCTGCTATAATTTTAAAGTCACCGAAGCAATTGACCTGGGGAAGGGACGAGGATGTCGATTGCTTCGGTGACTCAAATTTAGCAGTCCTTCATCGGTCAGGTTTGATGGATCCACCGTCACTTTGCGCGGTACTTTTAAGACAGACTGTACAGCCGCTCTGATATAACACCACCGTACAATCAGGCTCAGAGGACCCTGCCCCCGGATTCAGTGAGCCGTCTCCCGCCCTGGGCAGACATCACACCCACGCTGCAGCCTGTCGGCCGTCTGATGTATGGCTGCAGCCCGTGTCGGCTCGCGGGGGGCCACCGGGAGGGGTGCTGCATCCCTGTCAACAGGCCGGAAGCAGCTCCTCTTCTGGCTGCAGGCGGGGGCGGCCTTGACTGAACATGGCCCGCCATTACCATAAGCCGTCCGGCCGGCCGGCGGGCAGGGTCCGAGTCGGGTCAGCATGGTACCGCGGCTGTAACAAACGGCGGCGCCTCTCCGCCTCTGGCTCAGGTGCCAGCTCTGTCAGCACCCTCCCCCCTCCCTCCACCCCAGTGGGGCCGTGGACAGGACTGCCGGTACCAGAGTGCGTTGGGTCCTCCAGTCGCCTGCACGTGTAGTACACGGGACAGCCTTGCTAGCTGTGCATATGACGGTCATGTCGGCACGGGTAGATCGATCGATGTTCTGCCGCCGCCGAGCTTGTCACCAGAAGCGCCCGATTGTTATGTCAATCATCCAGATCATATGGCCAAATATCATCGATCAACACGATGGCTGCAGCTGGGAAGTCGCATATCTTCTCCGCTTGGCTTGTATCCATGTGGTTTATTCTAAATTGTTTTTGCCTTCCAGGCAAAGGAGAAAATATAATGATTCATCGGAATAACTACATGAAACATTGTTGATTTGACATAATGGCAAATAACTGTCATGATGCTCGCCTTGCCGTGCTAAAATATTCCAAGTCATCGCCATCCATCCTACGACACTATCGGAAACCAAGTGACAGCACCAAGCACCACCTGGCACCGCCTGACACTAGCTGACATCCCCTGTCATCGCCGTCTGTCACAGTGCCCTGTCACAACTGTCACATCACTCTGTGACAGATGTCTGCCCGCCGGCGCGTGCCGCCGAGCCGCCGAGATGTCGGTCTGTCACGCGGCAGAAAATGTCCGACGGACGTTCCGAGAGCCGAGTTATCGCCGTCCTTGGCAACATTTGGCGGTGAAAGGCCGGCGGATGGTACTACTCGGTGCAGACTCGGAGATAATTACTCCAGGGAGAGCCCGGGGGAGCGTCCCGCTGCGGAAATGGCCCACTGACCGGCATCCTGGGCGAGCGGGGCTGCAGAGCGGTCAGAGTGTGACCTCTCTGTAAATAGCCGCTCCGTCCTTGTGTAATCGCGCTGGGGAGGGGTGACTTACCGACCGGGTGGCCGGTCAGCTGATGTATTGAGCCCGGTAATGAACGTGACTGCACTGGAGCTGCGGCGCGAGCTATGCCCTCTCCCGACAGCATCATGACGCTGCACTGTTCATTCGGACAGAGACGAAAAGACCTCCCGCAGTGCATGTTCCGCATCTTTCTGTGACTGTATAGCTGAGACTCTCTGTAGCTGAGGCGCCCGTTCCCTCCTGCGGTGCCAGTCCCGATCCTCACCCTGTGTGACTGAAGCTGAGGTACCCGCCCCCTCCTGCGGTGCCTTTCTGTGACTTGTTAAGGTTCCCTGTAGCTGAGGCGCCCGCTCCCTCCTGCGGTGCCAGTCCCGATCCTCACCCTGTGTGACTGAAGCTGAGGTGCCCGCCCCCTCCTGCGCCCAGCAGAGAAGCCCGGCTACTGCCCGGCACGCTCCGACCACCCGCTCCTCAAGCAGACCGGCTGTGGAGTGCGCTGCTACGACGACGAAGACTGCGAAGGAGAGGACAAGTGTTGTGATGTCGCCGGATGCGGCAACATCTGCACACCCGCAGGTGAGGAGCTATTACTGCTCTACACTCGTGTGAAGGCTGAAATTCGTTTGTGAGTTCCAAATATCTTTTTGCTTGAGTTTTATGTTACCAGAGGTGATTTTCTATCACATGCTCAGGTAAAGGCATCCTTTTACGACAAGTTTATTAGCGTTAAGGTTTCTGTGTATCATGTAGTCTTTGTGTTACCTGTAAGGGAGCCGCTGAGTGTAGCTATGATGTCACGCTCTGTGTCAAGGCGCTGTCTCGTCTCGGAAGCAGCCCTATACGACCTGCGCCTATTTGCATCGCGCTTTGGAGGCCGACAACCTCCATAATCCGCATGTCGGCTTTCACAAGCGGTGACACCTCCTCCGTGTGGAGATGGGTGGGGCGGGGAGGGGTCGAGGTCACTCGGAGGCCGCCGGGAGGTCACACGGTTCGCCGGCACCGGTCAGGACCGATCAGTATTGGCTGTCCGGGGCTGACCGACTGGCGGTTTGCAAACACGTCCCTCTCGATGGGATGTAACTTACTAGCTGTTGTAACACACCCGCCTATGACAATAATTGTGTGACGATTATGCTCTGCAATGTTTCGACAGCGAAGCAGCGACCAGGTATCTGCCCGGTGGCCGAAGGCAATGATCCCTGTGGCGAGTGGTGTGAGGTCGACAGCGACTGTCCCGGAGCGGGCAAATGCTGCCAGACTGGCTGCGGAAAAATCTGCAAAGCGGCGGGTAAGAAAACGAGAGAGGAAGAGAACGGTGCGAAGGACGGGAGGGGGGAGGTGTGAGGTCTGATGGTTAGAGAGAATATATTAGAGTGGGAATGGGTGGATAATTATGGGAATAAGAGCTGGGTTCCTTCAGTTAACAGCTGAACGAAACATAATACCGGTACACCGGTGTTTGAAGATAAATTGTGCTCGTTACATGTCTGTCACTGATAACTAAGGATGTGTGTTATTTATCCGGATGTCTGTTTGAATGCAAAGAAGGCTGTCACGCAGCTCATTAGGGGGCTGATATTATTCAGCATGGTGACGCATCCGAAATGACATCAGACTATGAATATAAATCGATAGCTGGTGCTTTATGGCGGCAATAACGTTCAACGTTAGAACACTCTGAAGGCTCAGGCGAAATGTCAGCAGTGAACACCACATCCTGCACAGGAGTAGTACATTACTGCGCTTGGTCGGTATGAGACACGAGACATTTGATAAAGCGCTCAGTTTATGCATTCATTCCTGGTAGGCTTATGGTCGTCCAGTCTAACCACAGCACGGCATGTTGGCGCGCTCGGTGACAGTCTGTGTTTTTGTACCGCCACTTCTGACTGTTCTCGTCTGACGACAGACGAGCCGGGCTTCTGCCCTGCGCAGCTGGAGACGCCCAACTGTTTCTTCCGTGACGACCAGTGCGTCTCGAGCTCCGACTGCGGCGGCGGACAAAAGTGCTGCGACACTCCCTGCGGCAGAAAGTGCACCAAGCCAGGTCAGTTCGATGGTACGGCACTGGGTCGATGCTGCGAGTGGGCGTGCGTCAGCTATCACACACCGTCTGGCACCTCTGTTTATAACAAACACACAATTATACCATGACATGGTTATCGTAGGCTCTAGCTGCATATCCACCTGCCGAGCGCTGTATTTTTACTCACTGAGAGAGTTCAGCTAAAGCTGCATATATGTACTCGTAACGACGTATGCATTTAAGGAGTCATATTAAATATTGCGTCATATGTTTGACATGTTTTCTTTTAGCTGTGTCGCATAAATTTGATGTTGAATTATTTGACAGGATTGTCGAAACACAAACAAGACGTCAGCCATAACTTATCACCTGCTGCGCAATTTTTGTCAAGATCAAAGAGCGGCTAATTGTCATTTAGGCAGCAATGTGGAAATGCATTGTATTCGATTGTCACTTGCAAATGTGTTTTGTAACATACTGAGGGGAAGATCACATTCAAACGAGTTTGGTAATTAAATTAGCAGCGTAAATGTTTGAAAAATAAGGAAATATTAGAAAACATCCAGGATGAAAAGACCTTCCCGACAGACGACACTGAAAGTCAACGGGCAACACTACCTGCTCAGGGACCGATGAAGGTCGTAATTGCGAATAGCGATGCACAGGGAGGAAGTAAAGATATGAAGGTCAACAATAACTGCATTCGACTGCCTTTCTTCATGAATGCCATTATAGTCCATTCTGATAAAAGATTGTTTTTTGTTTTTAAAAGCTCTCTTGGAAATGAAGCTCTTTTCAAACCGTCCTATTGACCCCATCTGCTTCTGTGTATTCGGCTTTTAGCCGCCATTTATGTACCTGTCTTTAAGTAGTTTGAACATTAAACATTCCTTCACCTCTCTCCGGTAAGCACCTGTAGCATGTCGTACCAAATTATGGCTTTATTCCGCACCGCGCAACAGTGTTTCTTGGAGAAGATAATCTGCCATTAGTTATCTAATTATCAAGGTAAACAGACGGTAACGGGATTCTTATGACGCTTTTCAATTTTCAAAGCCTTCTGTGCCAAAAGTCTTGAGCCACTTAACCAAACAGCACTTTGCCATGTCATTTAAACGTCGCACCGTTGTTGACAAGCAACGGCTTGAGGGAGATGCTAATTAGGGATTTAATGACGTCATTTCATGATCCGTTGACGTCAGAAACTATGGCTATGACGTCAGCGGGGCTCTCTTTATTGCTGCTTCTTACGAGTCAATTGGCTCTGACCTGGGACATGTTGGGAACATTCTGGCTCTTTGGGATTAGTTGTCTAAAGCCATGATATTAATAATCTAAGCATCTGTGCAACCCAAACCAATAGCTTTTAAGAAACACAATGAACCTAAATTAACCAAATCTGCACCAAATCTGCACCTAGTCTGCACCAAATATGTACCAGATGGCCGTCGTATAAAAGCGGCTATATATCAACAGTGTGGGATGGTAAAATCAACTCAGAACTTAGTACTTACTCGAGCTTACTTGCAGCCGGGACATGTAAAAAGACTGCCGCATTTCTTGCAGTTTGGCATGCCTGAACGATGGGCCATCACTTTGCTTTTTTTCTGCTAACTGTGTGAGTAGTACCGTTAACGGTTTTTCTTGTCAATTCATGGTCAGTAATTTTTAGCCAGACATAAAGTTTCTTCGGAAAGAGTTGGAACTTTAACCAGGACCATGATTGATGCAATAAAGTAATCATCTTTTGTTATTCAAGATCCAACAAACGTCTTGCAAACATAGCAAATGCAGCCATTGTTATTCGCTGCTGCCTACAACAATTATCAGCACTTGCCGTTTACAGTAGCGGTTGATACCCGTTACCACCTACATAGCCGAGCTATCTGGCACTGTCCGCGGTACTGCGGGGAGGCAGCTTCCGTCTGAGTGGGATCCGCATTAGCGGCATTGCCGTCTCCATGTACGGGCCGGCTGAGGACAGATAACTGCAGTCGGAAGTCGCGGAGACCATTAGTCGCTCCGCCGCGAGTGAGTGAGTGAGTGCGTTCTGCGAATTGAAGACACGTGGCCTTCGGACGAGTCGCCTGAAACGCAGCGCGAAACGAGTAGTGATTACGTCTGATGTGCCTGACGTCAATGACATGGTTAATTTGTCGGCGCACATTTATTTAGAATGTTCAACTGCCTGCAAGCATGTTAATCTCTGTGTTGTATATTGTGATGTGACTGTTAAACAGCGATTCGCAATCTCAAAATTTGAGCTGCGAAGTTGGTCGCCCCAGGGTTTGATAGCACGTCAAGACGAAAAAGCCGCAAGATTGTAGAGAATCAATTTTTATATAATGCAAAAGAAGAACTTGTGCAGATTACGGTTTACAATCACTACCTGAAACAAGAAGCTATTACTAAACTCTGATCGTTAGATTTAAAGCTGGGGAAGCGTCCCGAAAGCTGTCATTCCTAGTACAGATTGGGGTGAAGGTGAGCCAGAGGAACCGACATTTCCCGTGTATAACAAATGGCTGGGCTGCATAATTAGCCTCACGGGCGACAGCCACGTCGAATTGACGCACCATTTTGACAGATCTAGCGGTCCTCGTTTCAGCGCCATCATCTCCTCCTTTTGCTGGTTGTCGGTAGTCCCGATGCTGCTCGTAGGCTAAGATCCGCTGTGGTAGCCGTTGGTGGTTATATAGGTGATTTCTTCTCACTCTGGCTTTATGAACACAGTGGTGACGAGCGTCACTTGGTCAGTCCAAAACGTGTCCGGGTCCAACAGGTCACGGACGGTCAGGGTCTGATGACGTCACAGCAGGTCTGGTGACGTCACCACTGGGTCGGGCCTCCCTCCCTTCAGTACAGGAATGCTCCATCGCTGTCCAAGTGTCCATATTGCCCATAGCTGCCCGTTTCGGCGCCCCTGACCCAGTGATAGCGCCCCGCTCTACCGTGGACGGGACACTAAAATGCGGCCTTTCCGCTTGCAGGCTGCGAAATTACTGCACTGAGGCGAGTGTGACTCATGCATTTGAAGTCACGACCGATATTAACAGTCGTCCACAAGGCATGTGCAGGCGTGATGAGATGACTGGGCAACAGATAAATACCTGTCCAGCCTCAGCGAATTTAATTTCAAATTTAATATCTATCTTCCGTCTTCCTGTTTCTTCCTGTTCTTACTAATTCACCAACCGACTGTACATTTATGACTCCCTTCTTCTTCTACTTCTTCTTCTTCTTCTTCTTCTTCTTCTTCTTCTTCTTCTTCTTCTTCTTCTTCTTCTTCTTCTTCTTCTTCTTTTCTTCTCATTTTATTTTTTTCTCACGCTCTTTCTCTTCTCCTGTCTCTCTCTCCCTCTCTTTCCCTCTCTTTCTCTCTCTTTCTCCCTCCATCTTTTTTCTTTTCGTATAACCACTAGCAGAAGTGTAATCATTACTCATTTATGATTACAGAAGTTCAAGATAGATACGCTTTCGTTTATGTAAAACCTGTTACATGGCATAGTTTTAGGTATTAAATTGGCTACTAGGGTACTGTCATTCCAAATTACCGTCACAATAAATTCGACAGAAAACGAGATTTTATTTAAATCTATGTACCAAAATTTTCGTCCTAAGTGATCAAATATAAGTTCTTGAAGTAAGCCAATTTCTGTGGTCCTTTCTAGACTCCTCTCTTCATTTGTCTCAGCAATATCGCTTAGGCGGAAGAATAATCCATTACATAACTAAGAAGTGCACAAATCGACAGCCTTGAACCCACTATACGCCACTGTTGGTTGGCGGCACTGCAGAACTCGCTTCAGGAACTTCTCTTGTCGTGCTGCCCAGTTTACTCTGCAGCGACATGAAGCCAAGGCTGCAGGATGATAAAATTGCAGGAGGCTAAATGGCTTTGAAAAACTGCAATCTATTTAACTCGGTTGACATTGGTTGGCACTGGCTTGACCCAGCAGGTGCAGAGCGTGCGCTGATTAATTCGAAACTATTTCATTTTGATAGGCTCGTTATTTGTCGCATCAATTACATCCAGCACGCCAACGAAAGAAAAAATATTGCAGCTCACTTTCAATTTAAAATGCCCAGTAAGCTTAAAGATTTACAGGACTGCATATGTAGTTCGTACTTAAATGCTCTTGCTTTTTATTTCATTCCATTCCCCTGACCTTATACAATTAACAGATGGTGTGTGGTTTTAGGTATCTGACGACAGAAGCCCGATAACATTTATCTCCGCGCTAGATAATCTTTATCTCCTTCCTACAGTTGGCGAAAAGCCGATGCTGTGCCCAAATAAGGACAAGCTGACCTTGAAGTCAGGTCACTTCTGCGACAGCGACCACGAGTGTCCGCACGAGCTCAAGTGCTGCAAGAACAGCCAGGGCGATAAGGGATGCACGCAACCCAGTAAGTACTGGTAAAACTGTCTTCCTTTTTAGGTCCGTTTTTAGAAAGATGCATGTATCGGAAAGCTTACTTTTGTTTCTGTTGCGAAATTAATCTGTTCATTATCAGTTTGTTTTGTTTGCTTTCGATTTGAGGCTAGCTGGTGACAAAATCGCAACCGTCTACCGGTCATTTGATTATGTTAAATCATAACGTTTTATTTTTCAGCCGAATACCGCACCACGTGTAGGAACATTAAATGCAAGAGAGGTTTCTACTGCGTCGATTCGGAAAAGGGGCCAGAATGCATCAACAGTAAGTCCATGCTGAAAAGATGTAAGAATCGATTATTGCATGCCAAGCTATTGAAGTTGCTAGCATGACCGAGCGTTGGCCATATGAAATCGGCTCCCAAAAGTAAATCTTTCCAGCTGTGCTCTGCCAGAGCACAGCTGGCTCTGCTCTTTGTTACGAGTTTGATCTGAACTAATTTGACCTGAGCTGACCTGACCCGCGCTGTTCTCAGAGCCCAAGACCACCTGTGCGGAGACGGTGTGTGATGACGACGCCAGCTGTCTGCAGAAACAGGACAAGGCTGTCTGTGTTCGTAAGTATTGTCCCATGCATCGACATCGATCGATTGATAGCTCTGTAAAAAGGACCGAACTCTGGGGGCTGCGCATCCTGAAATATAGAATGATAGGGGACTGCGCAGATGTAGAATATGGTGATGGTACTGAGCTGTAACAAAAGAAAAACCTCCTTCCTCGATTGCCAGTTAATGCCTAGTAAGGTTAGCGGCGTGCCAATGCCAGCCGTCGCCAAATGGCTTCAAATCCCCTAGCGGTGCCTATCTTGGAGCGAGCGTGACCATTTAAGTCGTACCGGCATCCTTACATGCCTCACTAAAAGCTTCAGTAATTGAGACATAAAACGCCAGCAGGCTAAATGGAGAACTGTTCGAGATATTAAGCACAGATGTTCAGGACACCTTTGTGAATTTACCGGCTGTATTTCGCATATATCACTTTACACTTTGCGTCCTTGACAGAGCAGGACGTGTGCGGCATGTCGCGTGCATAGGTCGATAAGGTATTAGCGATTAATATCGATAACTCCGTCTGTAGCCGGTCTCGGAGCCGTGGATTACAGCCGGGGTTCTCTGCCAGTGCAGCTGCAGCGAGATGCTCCGATAATACGGCGCTGACCGGAGCGGTAATCGCCGGCCCTCCGCACCGACCGGCCGGCTGACCGCCGAGCGGTGACCTTGACCTTCCCTCCCCTCCCCTGACAGCACACACCAAGGTGGGCCACTGTCCGCTGATCGCCACCGCGCTGCGACCCTGCAAACGGGCCCGCGTACTCTGTGAGACAGACGACGACTGCGCCGGCGGGGACATCTGCTGCACAGCCGGCTGTGTGCGCCGCTGTGTCACGCCGCGTGAGTTTTACACCCTCCCCCTCAGAGAGACCCTCCCCAGAGTCCACCACTCCCCACTGCTGGCTGTGTGAGCCGCTGTGTCACACCGCGTGAGTGCTCGGACCTTCCTCAAAACAGCAGTCTTTTATTTCCCTCGACCCTCTTTTTATGTCTACTCCTCACCTTCCCCATTCCTTCCTTTTTAGTTGGCTTCTTACGTATACGCTAGTCATAGAGCTCATAAATGATGCGATCCAATAATAAGCAATATAGAATAAAGTGACCTGACATTACCTGTAGGCTGTAAGTTACAACATAAGCCGAATAATTTTAAAAACTGACCAGACAATTGCTGATCCCTTTCCAGTGCGCACTGACTGCGCCTCTGTGGGCGCCAGTCTGTGTCGGACTGCCGGATACGTCTGCCAAGACACGGCCAACGGAGCAGTCTGTGTCGAAGGTGAGTGGTCCGTGGGGAAGTATACCCGTAGATAAGGGAGCAGTTTGTATGGAATGTCAGAGAAAGAGCAGACTGTGTAGTCGCGTTATAGGTAGGATTATAGACATATAGTTTAGTTGCAACTTTAGTTGCTCCGCTGGCTCATGAGAAATTATTGCATTACCATTTTTGGCATGACAATTGCTAACATGGCTAACATGGCCAAGCCAAGCAAGAGTTATGCATTGTGCACACCTAAATTATTACCGGAATCACTATGCACGATGCGCCTGCAGTGATGTATGAGTGTTGACCTTGGTCCAGAGACCACTGAGACGACGTTATCACTCCATCATAATCCGCTGCATTTATCGCCCGGTGTAAGTAGCTACTGTGCCTGTCCGCTCCCACTCTCTGCTGAAAGCACCGACGGCAGGTGCCGAGCCCCTGCAGCACCAGCGGCTAATGAGCCGGACAGGGAGGGGAGGCACCAGTCACCACCGCCTTCACCACTGTCACCACAGCGTCACCAGCGCTGTCGCCGCCGTCCCCGCGGCTAGGAGTCGGTCTCCTTGACACGGCTAACGCTGGCGGCAGGACTGCGGCGGCGGCGGCGGCGGCGGCGGATCGACTGCTGGGGGATGTAACACTACCTAAACCATACTTCGACACCACAGACAGACAGACAGACAGACAGACAGACAGACAGACAGACAGACAGACAGACAGACAGACAGACAGACAGACCTGCGGTGACTCGGGGTCCTCTGGGAGCCCTACCTCCGACAGGAGCCGGCTCCCGCGCCACTGGCCTCCCTGGCGACCCGGCGACGGCCGGCGACCACTCTGTCCGCCGCATGTCGCCGGCTTATGCTAATGGCGGCCGGTGTCGGGTTGTCACCCCTACCGGGTGTCCTCTGACGCCACGGCCCCCGCCCCGACACCCCTGCGACCCCTGTGACCTTGCCATGAGGTCACCTGTGAGGACGGGGACGGTGGTGGTGGCAACCAATACTGGGGACGGGTGCAGCGGTGACTGAACACGTGAGGGAGAGAGAGAGAGAGAGAGAGAGAGAGAGAGAGAGAGAGAGAGAGAGAGAGAGAGAGAGAGAGAGAGAGAGAGAGAGAGAGAGAGAGAGAGAGGGAGAGGGAGAGAGAGGGAGAGACAGAGAGACAGAGAGACAGACAGACAGACAGAGAGACAGAGGGAGGAGAGAGGAAATAAATCATTTTTGCATGTAACTATCTATGCGCTTAAAATATCGTAGAGACAAGTACCACAATTTTACCAGCATATGATCGCATACCTACCAAAGCAAATTACTTGTCACAAGGACACCCTGGATCTTCAAGCCAAGCTGGTCAATATACTTACATTACACCGGTGGTCACGTTAAACGGCCTGCATTTCTGTCAGTTTCATCGAATATTTTGCATACCGTTGCCGTAAGTTCATCGCAGCATTAGATAATTACATCAGCCTAGCATCATGCTGCAGCATCACAAGCTGCACGATAAAATTGTCACCAAGTTTTGTTCTATCATGCAATCTCAATGCGGAAGAGTCAATTGCCTACCATCTGGCATACAAGCCAGGCATTCCAAAAGATATATTCACAAAATGCCACGTAAAATAACACGTAAAACAGCAGCAATACAACCCTGATGAACCATCTGTTGCGGCTTTGGGAGAAACAAAAATCTACAGCCACGGACTCATTATCCGGAGTGTATTTACCTCAAAGCCGCGACCAGACATGTCTGTGTTGACTTTGAAGGCCGAATGTTAATGCACCTATTGGGTGGCGACACGACATTGCAATCAGTGACGATCGCGCCATCTGTCTGCGGCTGGTGTCCGTCGTCGGATCCGTCGGCAGGAGTCACGTCCGTTGCTCATGCATACATTCGGCATACCGCCGCGGAAACTCTGCTTCTTCGAACATTTCGCAGGAACGCCAAAATGCATATATTCCTACTTACCACTGAATAAAACTCCCGGCGTATGTAAGCAAAATATAAAACATTCTTATCTGAGCTATGTCATCTCCGCTTTCATGGCTGTTTCTGGAAACCTTCATTGCATCATTGACCTGTGCACTTTACTGTGTTGGCAGATATCTACACGTGTGATCACAAGAGATGCCCGGCTGGTTACGTGTGCCACGAGAGCTTTACGGGAGCGCGCTGCGTCAAAGGTAACTATCAGGACGTCCAGCGTAATTCCCTTCCAGTCTCCGCTAGTCTACGTCTAGGACGACTTATAACGATGTCCTCAATAAATGGGCTTAGAAGCATGCGGAAGTGCTACCTATAAGCTGATTTTGCCATATATAGCGTACTTACTTGCAGCCTACTGTCTAATCCAATCATCTACGCGCCTTTGAAGGTAGGCATGCTTTCCGATGCAAAGAGAAGCGTCCCACTGAAGATCAGATTCAAAAGCGTGGTTACATGATAAGGGTGATATTAGATAGTGAGGCGAATTTCAAAATTTCTAATGACGATAAACGAATAGCCCTATGTAAACGTGGCTTTAGTGATATAAGAATCCACTGTTGCGAACGATTTCTGCTCAAAGTTCACTACATACTAAGCAATTAACGATCTAACTTATTCAGACATTTTGAAACACTTTCTCCCTTTTATATCTTAGTTAAGTTTGTTTTTGTTTGTTTTGTTGGGTTAGGCCCTTTCGGTCGACAAGACCATTGCAGAGCCGGGAGGATGATAGGAATTAGGGGGAGACATTGGTCTGGGCAGGCACCCTAGTGAGTCGCCGGGGCTGAGCCCGTCCGAAGACAGGCCACCCAGCCCCAAGGCACTCACTGCACCCGGCTACGGGGTGCGCTCCCTCGGGAGCAGCGGTGCCGCTCCAAGGGAGCAGCCCGCATGAGATAAAGTTGCCTGTCCAGCCCGGAAGGGGGCTGCGGTGTGGAGGAGAAGGATTTCAGTATCCTGAGGATAGAAGCACGGATAGGTGACTTAGTTAACCCGCGCCCGGCCGGTGCTCTGAAATTCCGCGCCGGGCCGCGGGGGGTGTTTGAACACCCCCCCTTCTAACTCGGCTCCTGGGCCACGTAGCGACACGCTGTAAGCGGCAATCGAAAGAACGTCAAAAATAAGGACGAAAACACTTCGGTCATTTTTTGGGTCAGGTCAAAGGTCAGGTCACCAGAGGTCACCAAAGGTAAAATGTTGACTATTTCAACATTTTGGAAACTGCCAACGGCTATCTCGGGAACTGATAGAGCTACAGCGCCGCGGAAAAGCGCATTCGATAGCCCTTTTACAGACCTTTCTGAGTAATGTTCTCAGATTTGACCTCAGGTCAACGGTTTAGCCTCCAGAGGGCAAAAACTCCAAAAATAGCCGTTTTTACGAAAAACGTTTTTTTCGGCAATAACTTTTGACTCAAAAGAGCTATGACATTTCTTTTGCCAGCATCGTGTTCCTCTCGTCAAGACGCGTCGAATGAACTATAGTTTGACCTTGAAAGGTCAACTTGAAAATTTGACCTCAGGTCAAGGTCATGACCTGACCGGAAAAGGTCATGTTGCATATCAGTCGATCCGCAACGTCGAGCCAAACACATACAAGGCGTTTTCAGCGCTCTAGCACGCCTCTTTCAGAAGTTATCATCGAAAAACTGTTAGATTCTGTTCGTGACCTGAGATGACCTCGGGGACATAACGCGGGGTCACAGTTGCCATTTTCTGGTTCAGTGTGTCTATTTTACCTACATCTCGATGTTTGAGAGTGTCTAGAATAGCGTTCGTGCAAAACAGGCGCTTTTCAATTTTCTCCCATTGACTTATAATGGAGAGGCCGCAAAATTGACCTGACCTTAGGTCACCGATATCAAAATTCCGAGATATACATTTTATAGATAGTGTTGCTCTAATCAATCGCTGAAAGTTTCAAGGCAATCGTTCAGTCGGTGTAGCTATGACGAGCATTCTTATTTTTTCTGAGGTGAGGTCACTTGGCGTGACCTGGTGACCTGACCTAAGGTGACCTGGGTCTGAAATTTTCACAACATGTGCGGAAAAGATGCACGAACAGGTGTGCAAAAAACGGCGGCGCTCCGCGCCGCCGTTTTTGAGATATCTGCGAAAAACCGCAAGGGGGGGTGTTCAAACACCCCCCCCCCGGCCCGGCGCGGGTTAAGCTCATGACGAGTGTTTGGAATAGACTCGTAAGACACCTTTGCGCCGTTTCCAGAGCGCCAGACCTGCGAGACCAAGATCTGCGCGCCCGATGAGGACTGTTACGAGGAGGAGGATGGCGCCATCTGCATTCAAGGTGAGTCGCTGGTGCTGCCTTCTAGCAGCCAAAGTGAGCCTCGAACCCGATTGGCGAATAGCGCACCTAAGGCTATAAAGTATGTGGCAATAGAGTTAAGCTTATTGTATCGGTGAATGGCATGTTAGTTACATTGGTTTGGAAAAAACTACGTTTAAACTACGTTACGAAAATATGGCCTTGAGTCATGTTATATGACTGAAAAGTGAAACTAAAGGATATTATTTCCTGACCTAAAATTACATCGGCAACTGAACAATATGTTGGTAATTTCCCTCATTTCACATCATGACTATCCGAAACGCTTCATTGCAGCATCTTTCGAAAGCAAAGTAGTTGATCATTTTCCTCTCTGTTCACAGCGTATGTGGCCGAAGGAAGTATCAATCAAGGTGAGTCCGTCTATGACAGAACAATACTATTGCTTTACTTGTCTTGCAACTGGGCCTCATGGTCTGGCTAGGTCGTGGATCATGAGTTCTAGAAACGAGAGAGGCATTGGAGTTTGGGCTGAGGCAAAAGGCTGAGGAGCCCACCGACTGGGGAGCCTGTAACAACTCAGCCACTCAGTCTCTGTCACGACAAACCACTGAACTGCTCTTCCCGCGTGCTACTCCGGAAAGAACCTATTTCAAGTAAGTTTTCATTTTCATCACGGTTACCGTCACAAGGAACACAGTCCAGATTGTAGAAAGAACGCCCAAGAACAACATTAAAACCGCTGCCCAAGAACAACATTAAAACGGATGGTGGGCACCAACTGATATCAGATGACAATAATATGCATTTAAACGAGATCATACATTGAATATTGAAATGGCGCAGACAACGATAGGTATCAGTGGTTTAGGGAATGCGATAATACATTTGGGAACTTCAATGATACACAAAACAATAGCACCAGCAAAGGACACTGCAGCATTACACAAGAGAGTAGCACCAGCAATTGGAGACTGCAAAAGCACATAAAACAGTAGCACCAACAGTCGGAGACTGCAATAACACACACAACAGTAGCACTAACAATTGGAAACTTTAATAGCACACGAGAAAATAACATTAGAAAGCACAGATGGAAATAAAATAGCATGAACAGACGATTCGAGACTGCCATAACCCGCGGCCGGTAGGGCTATCGGCGGACCCTACCACCCGTTGGGGTGGGGAGGAGGTCGCCCCCTCCCCCTAAGCTCTCGGAACGTTACCGACCGATTTTGAATAATTCAAGCGGCTCTCGATAGCCCCACCAGGGAAAACCTTGTGACCAAGTTTCGTTGACCAAAGTGCAACCGATGATGTCAGAAAGGTCAGGTCAAAGGTCGCATTTTTAACCGATTACGAGCTTTCTAACTTCTAAGGAATGCGGTATAACATCGAATAAAAGACATGTAAAACCATCGATGCAGCGTTGGTCGCCTAATACCTATGTTGCTTAGGAGGTCACTGATGCCAGGTCAGGTCACAGAGGTCAGGTCACAAAGGGTCGCAATATGGACCCAACTATACTAGGGTCGTGTGATGCATGTTTTGTGACCAATTTTACACTTCAAATTCAATGGTGTGGGTTAGACTACTATTGGGGCCTGTTTTGGTTACGTTCTGGAAAAGGTCAGGTCAAGGGCAGGTCAAAAAAGGTCAAACTTCAAAGTTGATTTTTCTTTTTTGCAAATCATGGGTTTTTATTTGATGTAGCTCACCACGGGGAATCCAATAGTGGTCTTCATTTTACTTTGCATGGTCTATAAAGGCGACAACCATTGAGTTTGAAAATTTTACGTCATAAATTTTGAGCAGTTTTTTTCGCCATAATATTGTTTAATGGAACTATAGAGCTCAAATTTTGCATGTCAGTAGCAAACCAATAGTTAAATATCATGTAATCCGGTTTTAATTTTTTTAATTTTTTGGTATTTTGGAGGTATTATATCCAACAATCACTTTAATTTTTGGGGGTCAAAATCTGAAAATGTCAAAAAGTCGAGTTACGAGTTTTGTAGTCCTGCTTATTCTACACCTTTTTTTGTAAAAACATTTTTTTCATCTTCAAAACTGTATGTGTGACAACTCTTCTCGCAAAGCCCTTTTTTGGATCGAAAATCTCAGAACATGACGTTATTATGACGTCATTTGTGGCCAACCTTTCCTAGGCTCTGGACAAAATGTTTGTTCGCAAGGTGAACAATGGACTCGAGGAGTTCTGAAAGTCTGTTGGCGATATCTGCTATACTTTAGGAGACATAGACTGAAAAGGAGAAGGGGCCGTTTCGGCCCCAAACGGGTTGCGGAAAAGGCGCAAAGCAATAGCAGCAATAATATAGTGCAATGATACACAGGAGAATACCAAACGGCTGGAGGCTGCAAAAACACAAGACAATGCCACCAACAAGTGGGGACTGCAAGACCACAGAAGACAATAGCAACAAAATCGGAGGCTGCATTCATACGCAGAAGAGTACCACCAGCATCTAAAGACTTCAACAATACATAACACAATACCCAAACATCGGAAAGTGCAACTATGCATAAGACAGAAGTATTACCAAGTAGAGACTGCAATAATGAACAGAACGGGAAATTCAATAATGCAAAACACTAGAGGTACCACAAACAATTGGAGCCTACAGCAGCACGCATGAAAATAGCACCAACGATAAGAGACTGCAATAATACACAAGACAGTAGCAGTACCAATCGTAGACTGCACGAATGCACAAGGCAGCAGCACCAGTCTTGGAGACTGCAATAAAATACAGCACAAACACACCAATAGATAGAAAATGCAGTAATAAACAATAACATATAACCGACAAAAAAAATGAATTCGGCAAAAAAGGAATATGGGACTAGCTACACACACATGAAGAATGTAAAAATGGCCGAATGATATATAACAATACCATCTGGAGTGAATGGTCCTTTCATACTGATGTTGATTAAAAATAAAACGTATTTATATTCTGATTTCTCTAGTTAGGAGCCACTGTAGATAACTACTCTGTCCGCATTCCTAAGTGGCATGCACGGCCGAATGATCCGAGATCCGTGCAGGGTGAGACCTTTCCGGGCGTTGATAGGTGCGATGGCAGCTGCGGGCAAAGTGAGAGTGGCGAGGGGAGCGCTCTGGGACGGGCGTTACATCCGTATCACGGCTGTTCGCCGAACGGCCGACCTCTCCGCGGCGCGCGCGGTGCGTGAGCAGCAGCCCGGCGCCCGCTCCGCCCGCTCCGCCCGGCGCGGCGCCGCCACCGGGCACACTGCTGTCGAAACGCGCCGCGTCCCCTCCGCGCGCGCGGCCGGCCGACACTGCAGAGTGCAGACCGACCCTGCTGGCCGGCCGGGCAGACCACGCGCGCCGCGACTACATATTGGGCTCTCTCGATCAGCCGTGTCAAGTTCTGCATAAACATATTCACTAACATCTGTCCGATTTATCATACTGTTAGGTTTCTCGGACATCTCTTTCTGAACAGCGATTGATGCAGAACTGAAAGCTGAATTACAAGTACTAAAAAAGGGTGCGAACTAAATGTACTCAAAGACCTCTCTTCATATGCGGATTGACACGCGTAGACCATATATGCTGAAACATCTTAGTTATCTGGTTTCGCTTTCTAAGACCTATATTTCTTGAATGCATGTGTCAACTGACTGCTTAAATGCCTTATAGACTTGCTTTCCATGTTATGAGTTCGAACATATACTCGTATAACATGAATCATGTTATCTAACTAGTTCAGTTATCTATCAGATTCATGTTATCTATAACTCTAATAAGGAAAAAAGTGCTTAAATGCTACATTTTCTTGTCCAAGCATAGCAAGATTATTCCAACAAATTTTTTCTTACACACTTTGGATCACATCGTGTTCCTAATGTAAGCTGTTAGGCTCACTAGAATCTTCTCCTTTATAATTAAATCGAAACGTTTCTTCTTCCTGAGACAAGCACTCATCATTATGTTCTAAACAAATTGTTTTAGATTGGTTGCTTATTGCAGCGTTAGTTGGTACGATTATTGGAACCTGACTTACACTACACAAACAAAATGTGCAGTCGCAGATGCGAGATAAAAGCTCACTTTTGAATGCCCCGGACAGAATGAGAGCTTATCAGCCGCACAAGGGAAAGACGAACAATGAGCAATGCTTACCTATTGCCTGAACATGCATTTCAATATATGATTATGTAGTGTAATTTATCTTAATTAAAGTCAATACGTGCTTAGGAATGCTGCCAAACGGCATGCTAAGCTAATTCAACTATGCTCTCTGGAACTGACGAGCATGAGGCGGCCCGCTTCAACCAACTGTGAACAGTTATAGCCTGATGCTTAGTTGCAACAAAAGTATCACCTGACATCCTACTATAATCACAATGGCTTAGATAAGACCAAGGGACGACTACCGCAATCAGACAAGAAAGTCGGTGAAATTAGGCACCTCGATGACACCCCAGCAGTTTGCACTGGAAACGCACATTGCGCCCGGCGCCGCCGGGTCGAAAGTGGTCGGCTGCCGACTGCTGGCTCCATTCGGAGACGTGCTATGGCATTCCACCGGTCCATCGCTCAGAAAGGCGTTCCCGGAGAGGGCGTGCTCTCCGCACGCGTCGGACCGTCCTCTCGGAGCCGGAGGTTATAAGAGAGGTCCGGCCGACTGACCGCCGACAGTGCCTCTGTGGATCTCACGGGTCAGGTGACTTTCCTCTGCGAGAGGACCCGCCCTGCCGGCCGCGGCCTCTCACCCCCGCTCACCGCGCGGTGGCCAGTGCCGGGCTCAGTTGCACCGACCGGAGCCGCGAGTCGAGGTGGATTGGAGAGCGGGACGACTCATCTCCGGTGATAGACCGAAAGGTGCTGGTCACAGAGTGCTTACTGGAGCTGGAGTCCGGCGGCTCGTTTGGATACCCATCATTGAAGACACGCAAGACGAAGTGTGGGCCCAGTGCGAGTGTTACAGGAAGATGATCTAGTGACTGACGAGGAAAAAGTAGGACTCTGCCTGATTACTTTTGAAGTTTGACAAAACTCGATGTGAAGGACTCAGACTATTGAGCCTTGAGAGGACTCGGTTTGCGGAGCTTGTGCGGACTTTTGTTGGATTATTTTGGCCATGTTGGTCCCCGTTGTTTTATCGTTGTTGAGCTGCTGGCTGTCGTCTGGTCTCGGAGCGGACCGTCCTCCCCAGACTGCCCCACAGTGGACCCGTCACACAGGTCTCCTGAACCTGGCTCTGCGGGGCGGGTATCTGCCGCCCCCCGGGGTATCACACGGCCCCCAGCGGCCGCCTGGTCAGTACCTACCTCCAATAGGCCCTCAGCAGCCTGTGGGTAACTCCTACCGGTCACCGGGACCTGTCATAGCCGTCACCCGTGACAGTCCGTCAGAGCAGTGGTCACCGGTAGTCACTGCCACTGGACACGGCCAGCCGCCGCCGGGGTCGCAGCAGACGCAGCCGTGGATACCCATTATTACAACCCAGGAGCCCCGGCCGGCCAGCTCTGGAGTCGTAAAACAGGAAGGAAACGGGTGGTCGGCCCCGGGTCCCGCGCAGCAGACTCGGCAGACCTATCAGGATTTCAACAGAGGTCAAATAATTCAGCAGTCAGCGCCTCAGCAGGGCCCTAGGCCGGTCTCGCAAAATGTACAGCAAGCGCCCGTGTTTTTGCAGCCGGCACATCAACAAAACTATCGGCCGTCCCCTCAGAATGTACAGAAAGCTCCAGTTTTCCTGCAGTCGACACATCAGAATGTTCCTCAAGCAGCTTCACAGGGAAACTTACAGCAAGCTCCCGTTTCCTTACAGTCAACACGTCAAAATAGCCCTCCTCCAACTTCGCATGGGAACATACAGCAAGCTCCTGTTTTCCTGCAGTCATCGCCTCCACAGCACAATCGGCCAGTGTCTCAGGAACAATTCCAGAAAGGTCCCGCTCTTCCTCAGCCGGCGCCACAAGTCAATGTCCAGTCGCCCACGCAGGAGGCTCGCGCTTCCGTCACGTCCACTCTTCAGGCCGTGGGAAGTGGTCAGCTACCACAGGCCCATCTGGAGTTCCAGTATCTACCACCGCCACAGACGGATGTGCAGACTGAGGCAAAATCTCCGAGTGAGGTACACTCGGCAGGAGTTAATGCGAAAGTCAATGAGCCTTATAAGCCTCCAGAGGTGATTCTTCCTAACCCGGACGTCGATGTACGCTCGAGTGCAGGAGGATCTCTCAACGCCAGCTCGGGACTGCCTCCTTCTCTCTCGGCCCTGGACGAACTCCGGAAGTCGCTACCATCCAGCCCCAACGTTCCGGCCGTGAAGGTGGTCTCTGTCGCCGGCCAGGAGCGTGAGCGACCTCTCGTGGTGTACTTCGAGGGCATGCACTTCAGAAACAAGGCCACAGAGCCGGGATTCTGCCAGTCCATCTGCGCCAGCCCCTCGCGGGTCATAGGTACGAGCCACTCCCGCACGGGAACACTCTCAGCCCACACCACGGGATAGCCTTTAAAGTCACTGCCAGATTTCGCCACCAAAGATGAAAAGCCAGCTGTATATGGTCCCTAACTCGGTGACCGTTAGCGTCCATTCTTGTTGCTGAGTTTGGTCGTGAACACCGTGAACCACTCACGGTTTTCGTCGTGCGGAGATAATTTAACGATGGTGCTTGGCCTTGTGCACCCATGATTGTGCTTCTTTATGGCGATGTCACAACCGCTCATCACCAGGCTAGTGCTACTTATCACACCTTTAAGTGCATCAACTTTCCTGTTATTGGCTCATTCTATGATTTTTACGACCTGATTAGCTCAGTGTAGCCTTTAAAAGTATAAAAAATGTGTAAGGTCCTGTGAACCGTTCTTTTCTGGTTCGGTAGCAGCATTGGATACGAAATTTACCATCTTCTTATACTGCAGCTTTTGACACCAACAAATACAATGAGTGATTCATTTCCTGGTAAGAGCCACTCGACCAGGAATTGATACCGCGTCAAACAACTAATCAACAATTAATTACTAATCAATAGCCGTCCCGCATGGCACGACCCACGCGATCTCCGCGCTCGTACCGTGTCGCAAGTGGCCGCCGGGCAGCTGTCGCTGCTCCAAAACAGTGGCACGATGCACACTGCACGACCCCCTCTCTGTGCCCGCACGCTGTGTCGTAAGGTGCGCCTCTGCAGATCGGAATGCGCCAGTCACTGGCAGCTGACCCTCACAAATGACGTCATACCGGTGCCAAACTGCGCCAGTAGTGTCACGTCCAGCTAGAGGCTGTAGCAATCATTGGCAATAGCTCGGATTTAATTTACGCCCTCTCGAAGCGGGGATTTAGTAAACTATCATTACGTTTATTATTTTATCTTGCTTTATATATTTGTTAATTGATTAAAAGGCCTATATTTCGACACGTCTCTATTTCATCGCCATGAACACTTCCCATCCTAATGACGTGTGATGAACATTCGTTATCCGAAAATGTCCGTGCTGCATCACTGGTATGATTTTGGTGCGTGCCATTTCCTTACTCCTCTCTCTCTCTCTCTCTCTCTCTCTCTCTCTCTCTCTCTCTCTCTCTCTCTCTCTCTCTCTCTCTCTCTCTCTCTCTCTCTCTCTCTCTCCCCTCCCTATCCACTCTCTCTCTCTCTCTCTCTCTCTCTCTCTCTCTCTCTTTCTCTCTCTCTCTCTCTCTCTCTCTCTCTCTCCCTCCCTATCCACTCTCTCTCTCTCTCTCTCTCTCTCTCTCTCTCTCTCTCTCTCTCTCTCTCTCTCTCTCTCTCTCTCTCTCTCTCTCTCTCTCCCTCCCTATCCACTCTCTCTCTCTCTCTCTCTCCCTCCCTATCCACTCTCTCTCTCTCTCTCTCTCTCTCTCTCTCTCTCTCATCCTCTACTTCCCTCTTTCCCTCCCCCTCCCGTATGTGACACGCCGCTGTTTATTTCCACAGAGGTGAAGGCGGGCAAGTGTCCCCCGATCCGCCCGGGCTCGTACCGCGGCGACTGCCAGGATCTCTGCAAGTACGACTCCGAGTGTCCCAAACAGCAGCGCTGCTGTAACGTCGGCTGTGCCAACGTCTGCCTCGACCCCGTCTTCAGGAAGACGTGCGACGACTTCGACTTCCAGTGTCCCGAGGGATACGCCTGTATCGACGATCCGGAGAAGATCAAGGACGCTTACTGTGTCAACACCAGTGAGTATGAAACTACCGGGGCTTGGTCGCATAGGTTGGAGGTTGGCATACTTCCTGAGTTACAGATGAGAGGTGTCAGTTTATCACTGGGGAATAGAGTAGATTGGCATTCAATGTTGCCAACTCGTCACTGCAAACCAGTCGTAGCAGCCAGAATCAGATGGTGATTCGTCACCTCATTGCATTGGCTCTTCGCCATGTGAGGGGATGAACAGCCGACATTACGTCCCTCCTCTGGTCCGATACCATCTGGTCGCCATTTCACCATCAAAGAGCGGGCCACGGACCACGGAGCCGGCACCCATGGCTCTCCGACAGCGATATGTGAGAGGTGCCACCGCCCGGCGGCTCGTGGCGCCTGCAGTGCCGCGTTCCAGTGATCTGTATCTGGACAGAGGTGGCGGGCCATTACCATTTGCAACGGGGCGCCGCGGCCTACGCCCTGTCGTCAGTGCGATTGTGCGCACCGTACGACGGCTGACCGGGCTGCGTAGAGCCGAACTTTCTCTGGTCCCGGTGATTCATCAGAAGGGATCACGCATGATCCGTCGACGCAGACCGGATCAGAACAAAGCGGAAACAACGTAGGAATGCGCACTTGCAAAACGCGCATGAATTTGGGCATGGATTTGGCTTCATGGAAAGTGTTCTCGAGACTGAGGATGACAGACTATACCGCAGCTTGCAGCGGCTATGCACATGGACCGGTCTCCACCTGAATCTGTTATTTGTAATTGGAATGTTTAATAGAAAAGCGGTATGCTATTATTTAGCATTGTCTATAGCGATTCATGTCATGACTTAATCGATTCAGATCGATTCTGATCAATCCCAGAACACGCTACATTGCGTAAACGGTCCAAGCCTACTCGATCTCACGCAGCCGCAAGTTTCGTCTCTGACACCTGCTGACCGACCCCCGTCTCTCCTCCCCAGCAAACAAGGTGGGCCGCTGTCCGGCGCCGGAGCTGTGGAGCCCCAGCAGTCGCAGCTGTGACCAGGAGTGCTCATACGACTTCCAGTGTCAGGCCGACGAGCGCTGCTGCTACAACGGCTGCGCTCTGGTCTGCGTGGCGCCAGACCTGCGCAAACGCTGCGAGGACCACAACTGTGCCGAGGGATTCACCTGCGTGGACGACGGGGTCACGGACGCCAAATGTATCAGCACAGGTGAGGGCCGAGAGGCAAGCGGCGGTGATGACTGCAATGCAATCCCTATCGACCTAAATACTGCTGATGTGGGCTAGAATGCGCACCTAATACCTGAATCAATCTATTTATGCTTATTTCACTGCAAGGTTTATGCAGTTGCACGATGCAAAATGCATTGCACAACTCATCATAATCGGTCGTACAAGCAATTAAACTCGACCTATAACACAATGAACCAATGAAATGAAATACGGACACAATACATGGACCATGACCCAATTGTGATCGATTGAAGTGATTTGTTGAACTCTTGCCTGGTTCGGTTTGGTATGACTCTGAACTGATCCTGATCTGACCTGATATGACCTAGCCTGACTCTGACCTGACCCTGAACCTGACCTTGACCTGGCTTTGACCTTGACCTGACCCTGATCCTGACCCTGACCCTGACCTGACCTGACCTCGACCTGACCCAGCCCTGACCTGACCCTGACCTGACTCTGACCTGACCCTGACCCTGACCCTGACCCTGACCCTGACCCTGACCCTAACGTGACCCTGACCTGACCTGACCTGACCCTGCCCTGACCTGACCTGACCCTGACCCTGACCTGACCTCGACCTAACCCAGCCCTAACCTGACCTGACCTGACCTGACCTGACCTGACCCTGACCTCGGCAGCGCCGCGGGACGGCCGCTGCCCCCGCTGGACGCCGGGCCAGTACAAGAAGTGCGGCGAGGACGAGTGTCAGTACGACGAACAGTGTCCTGACGGCCAGAAATGCTGCAACAACGGCTGCGCCAACGTCTGCGTCGGAGCCGACACCAGAAAACTGTGCTCCGACATCGAGTGTCCGACCGGCACCGCCTGCATCGAGAACCCCACCGGCGACGCGCAGTGCTTCGACACAGGTCAGTGAGCTGCGGAACGGGGTCAGCGGAGGTATTTGTAGCCTTTCCGGAGAAAGCTGCTGCCTTTCAACGCCAGTTCCTGCTTTTGGTATAGGCGCTGGAAATCAGAAGCATGCATATTTATCAAGCTGGATTGTAGCGATTAGGATATTGCGGAAATACTAAGGTAAGCATTTGCAGCTATGGGTTTAGTTGTCATCATGATCTCAACACCTGTTTGGCGACTTGCTTACAGAATGCAAATATGTGTGTCTATTATGCAGCCGACATCACCAAGGCCCACGGTTCCTCCACCATTGCTCCATACTCCATGACATACCGCACCACTCCGCCCCGTTTGTGTACGTACGCTATCTCTCAGACTGTACCTTCCTCATGCAGAGGACCGGCGGGGCGCCCATGGCTGGACCCGGTCCGACTCGGCTGACTGACCGCCCGGCCCGCATTCCTCAGTCCCGCTTGCAGCGCGCGCGTGCAGTGGTGCCGCTTCCCCGGCCCGTAGATTGGGGTGGGCGAGGCACGCGGGACTTTCGCCGCGGTCCGGTGGCGCCAGCCGGACGGGGCGGGGACGGGGCAGGCAGGGCCCCACCGATCGGCCCCTGGGAGGCGCGCTGCACAGCACAGCCCCGGCCGAGCTGTGGAGCAACTGCCGACCGCCGCCGGCCGGTGGCCAGAGGGGCCCTGCTGGACGCACGGCCTTTCACCCCGGGTGGTGGACAGAGGTCGGCCGGCCGGCGCCTCTCCTCCGCTCCTCCCCTCCCTTCCTCCGCACCCACTGCACGCCCCGGTACCACGCGGAGAGCCAATTCGGTGACCTCATGACCGGCACTCTGTGCATCACGACCGCCGACTGCCAATGGCCATTGTTTGGGTCCGCCAAGGCCAGCGGTCGGCTCACCTCTGCATAACTCACCGAAATCGGGATGTGACTGGTCTTTCTCAAAGTTGACAGACAACATTGTTACTGACTGCATTTGACATGTATATTCTGTATATTTCAGCGGAGAAGGACGGCCTGTGTCCGCGCGTTTCTAACGACACTCAGCCTCGTGGTGGATGCCAGGACACTTGCAAATACGACTCTCAGTGCGACGACAACTCAAAGTGCTGCTTCAATGGCTGCGCTTACGTCTGCCTGCGGCCCCGCAAGCCCGACTGTGATCAGATCAAGTGCAAGGTCGGCTACAAGTGTAACGAGGACCGCAGTGGAAACCCCATCTGCTCCCCGATCCGTGAGTAACTCCATATGTAACTGGAACAAAACTATCCAAAATCCAAGAGGTTCACCCATGCAGGCTTGTTTATTTTGATAGCATCGAAAACAGAACAGGAAACGTTTGCTTCCATTCCCGGAAGTAGCTAGGTATATGTTTATAATAGGACTCTGATGCTGGCCTTCGACGAACGCTGGATAACCTACAATCATTGTGTAGCAAGAGGGGCATAAATATCATTTCGCAATCAGTACCCGTGACCGGCAGTCAACTAACATCAAATGTCCGTTCCAGCGTGCAAGCAGGACGGCGAGATTATCGACATCGAGTGTAACAGCTGCACCTGCATCCAGGGCTACCTGCTCTGCTCACAGGAGGAGTGTCCGCCAGGTAAGGTCGGCCATTGAAAGGGACTGTTGTAGTGTGTGCAACAGTTTTGTTTACTGCAGATTCATGGTGCATCGCTGTTTGCGAAATAGATACTGAAGATAAGCATGCTGCACCGTCCAGCGTACCTACTATAATACACAACCACTGTAGTTATATTGTCCCGCACTACACAACACACTGATGGTATACTGCACCGCACTACACAACACACTGGTGGTATACTGCACCGCACTACACAACACACTGATGGTATACTGCACCGCACTACACAACACACTGAAGGTATACTGCACCGCACTACACAGCACACTGAAGGATACTGCACCGCACTACACAAGTACAACACACTGATGGTATACTGCACTGCACTACACAACACACTGAAGGTATACTGCACCGCACTACACAACACACTGAAGGATACTGCACCGCACTACACAAGTACAACACACTGATGGTATACTGCACTGCACTACACAACATACTGAAGGATACTGCACCGCACTACACAACACACTGAAGGATACTGCACCGCACTACACAACACACTGGAGGTATACTGCACCGCACTACAAAACACACTGAAGGATACTGCACCGCACTATACAAGTACAACACACTGATGGTATACTGCACTGCACTACACAACACACTGAAGGTATACTGCACCGCACTATACATTACACTGAAGGTATACTGCACCGCACTACACAACACACTGAAGGATACTGCACCGCACTACACAAGTACAACACACTGATGGTGTACTGCACTGCACTACACAACACACTGAAGGATACTGCACCACACTACACAACACACTGTTGGTATACTGCACCGCACTACACAACACATTGAAGGATACTGCACCGCACTACACAACATACTGAAGGTATACTGCACCGCACTACACAACACACTGAAGGTATACTGCACCGCACTACACAGCGCACTGAAGGATACTGCACCGCACTACACAACATGCTGTAGGTAGACTGCACCGCACAACACAATACAGGCTGTAGGTATGTCCCACCATACACTAAGTATGCTGATTACGGAGCGAGCGAAGCGAGCGTAGTCTTTCCTTAGATTAACGGAAATTTCTGAGTATGAGCGGCCGGCCGGCCGGCCGGCCGGCCGTGGTCACGCTTTTGCGAGGCTTATATCTCAGCAACCACTTGACCGATTTACACGCGGTAATTTTTGTAGGGTAGCTTCATTCCTTCTACCAAGTATTGGACTATTCCCGATGCATGTGGGTGACCCCTTATGCACGTGCCACGTGCAAAACGAAGAGGTGTCACTTTTGTCATTGTTGCAATATCTCGGTAACTACTTGGCCGATTGCGCTGAAAGTTGGCATGTAGGTAGGCACCCACTAGGCACTGCATATACATGTGCCAGAGTTGGGGTGCTGCTGCACGTGCGCACGTGCAGGGGTCGTTTCCAGATCTCGGGAACGGCTGGACCGATTGCGCTCAAATTGGTACACGGTTGGGGACCGGTTAGTAGGGTGCCGTGCACAAGTCAGTTGGGACCCATTTTGCACGTGCGCACGTGCACGGTGCCGCTTCCAGGTCTCGAGAACGGCTGGGCCGATTGTGCTCAAATTTGGCACATCGCTAGAGACCGGTCAGTAGGGTGCCGTGCACAAGTCAGTTGGAGGTACCCCTCTAAATTTCGCACGTGCAAGGCCCACCCTCTCGCTCGCTCCGTTAGTCGCCCCAAAAGGCGTTATACTGGTTATTTCGTACCATAATTTTGTTGATTGGCGATTTATATGGTCAATGGTCATATAACTATCAATTAATCCTGTCGGAATCGGTCTTTTGATACTTGTTTAGACACTCGGTGAAGCTACGTCTGTCGTCCTACTGACCAGTGCTCTCTTCCGCGTACAGTGAAGCCGGGCTTCTGCCCGAAGATCACCAAGGGCTACAAAGGCAAGTGTGTGGAGGACTGTGACAGCGACTACAATTGTGACGGAGAGCACAAGTGCTGCTCCACCGGCTGCGGCCACACCTGCCAGAAACCCGGTGAGTTTGGATCACTTCTAGAGAAGGGAGGCGCTCCTTTATTTGTTTTGTTTGTTTTGTTTTGTTGGGTTAGGCCCTTTCCGTCCAATTAGGCCATTACAGAGCCGGGAGGATGATAGGAATAAGGGGAAGACATTGGTCTGGGCAGGCACCCTAGTGAATCACCGGGACTGAGCCCGTCCAGAGGACAGGCCGACCAGCACCAAGGTACTCACTGCACCCGGCTACGGGGTGCGCTCCCTCGGGAGCAGCGGTGCCGCTCAAAGGGAGCAGCCCGCATGAAATAAAGTTGCCTGTCCAGCCCAGAGGGATTGCGGCATGGCGGAGAAAGATTTCAGCATCCTGAGGATGAAAACACTGAACGGTGCGCAACTTTATGGGAATTCGTCGTACTTAGGTACACGGTCCAACATCAGACCAAATGCACCGTTTAGAATTAGAAATTAGAATATAAATTTGTGACGGCAGAGCGTGATATTTTGTCATGCTATTCCTAGAGAAAAAAAAAACTTAGCGATATACCTGTGCTTGCTTGCAATTGCTTGCAATGTTGCAATATACCTGAGATGTGGTTGTATTTAGCACAGCCTGAACGTCGTTTGGACTGGTGCCCTGTTAGACAGTGGCGCCCGCGAGCCTCCCAGCCCCGGTGTCAGACCGCTGAATCACTAGTTCTCCGAGTCGCCGCCGGTGTCGCCACCATTGCTCTGACCATGTCCCTCCACCCCCAGTGTCTGAGATCGTCCACCCGTGTAAGACGGTGCGGTTCCGGTGTGGAGACGCCACACGTTGCGCCGCCACGCGCGGTCTCTGCCAGGGCAAGACCTGCCCGCTGTCCCCGCTCTGTGTCAGCACCAGGGCACCATTCTGCGAGAGCTGTCCGCCCGGCAAGGTGTGCGTGCTCCAGAAGCGCTCGTGTCCGAACGGCGGCTCGTGCCACCGTCAGCCCATCTGTATCCAGCTCTACAGCGACGACACCATCTTTGAGGAGGACGAGGAGCTGGAACAGGTGGTAGTGGCGAAACAGACGGCCGGACGGAAGACCGGCTGAGTTACCCCTCCCTCCCAAATCCCGGTCACTTCCCCTCCCAATCCTTCTCCCAACCACAGTAACCTAGAACCGTCAGACGGCGGCGGAACATTGATCAGTGATACGGACTCCTAAATGCAGCAGACGGTCAGATATCCGTCCCCGTGGAGCCGATATTTGTGTGAAATATCGGACCGGACTGAGCTCTCTGCGGTATATCCGGCCGCCCGTGTCATCTCCGCCGGGCATTTTACCGGCCCGGCAGCGGGGAGGCCGGCCGCTGAGCGGCGCTGGGAGCGGCCGTGCTGCGGTACATTAGAATACTGCTGGCGGGTAGTGGGTCGTGGTATTCCCACGAACAGTTGTGCTGTGCCGTGGGAGGGAGTCCAGTGGTGCTGGAACTGGGGGGCCCTGGCGGAGCGTGTAGCACAGGGTTGTGTCACTGTTCCAGCAGCGGTCCGAGCCGCCCAGGAGAGTGTGGTGGCCGAACGAAGTCGCTCTGTAAGGTCGTCGTGTGGATATGCTCTACGGTCTCCCGCTGGTTTTCTGTCGTTACTTGAAATAGAAGTGTGGATATAATATTTCTGAATAAATGGTGACCCAATTGAGTCGACTCTTTATGGCTTAATTAAAGAACGACAACTCGTTGCATCTATTGGGAAGACATTACATAGACAAAACTTGTAAAGGTTCATTGTTTTATTGATAAATAGAATAAATAACCATTCAGCAATACAGTGTAACAAGTTCGCACGGCTCGGAACAGTTTAGAGCACAACAAAGTAAGTGATTTGTGCAAAGGCCGTAACACAAAACGGCTTCCAGTAACAAATAGCTGTCGACACCGTTGAATTTAAGACATATTGAGCACATAGTTATTAGGTTATACCTGACCTAACTTGCAATAAGCCCTGCAGAAACCATTGAGCAATACAGCAGTGCATGAGCAAATATTCAGTTCTATGTAAGTTCATTACATCGAGCGATGTGCCCCTCGGCACCATACAGGAGGCATTCCTAAATTTTCACTTAGTTCACCCGGGGACGTTTGCGGAACTTTCGCTCGAAGAAAGTCACAAAACTGCAATAAAAAAAATCATTCCGCATTGGGCTCAGATGTGACGCCGGACTAATGTAGCTACTTAGATAACTCTTTGTACACAATGAAGAACGTGCATGAAAACGACTGGACCGGGTGCGCGGGTGTGACCCCCCCCCCCCCACATACACCGCCCCTGTGAGCAGTGCTGTCCGGCGGGGCGGACACGGAACGTAACAACGGAACACTCCTGTTACCGGGAGCGACACAACGACCGGTGCTGCTCTGTGGAACACCCCCTAACAGCAGTATGTACCGCGGGCGGGACTGGTGTGGAGCACCGCAGCGCGCTCCCGCGCCGCAGTCAGAAGCGCAGCACCAATCTCGGATCGTCGCGCCGCGTCGCGATCACGCGCGAGTCATCAGGAACACTCAATAAATATTCAACTGCATCTCATCGCGCCATTCAGCCTATCGATAGCTCTGATTGTACAGACACGAAGCAGCCGAACCGGGCTGAGGCCCCACTGCGAGTGACTGTTTCAAAACACGTCTATCACACGCACACCACTCGCACACACACACCTACAGAGCACAGTCGCACAGACAGGGGCAATCGGGGAACAGTGGCGCCCCCACGACAGCTGGTCGTCGGCAAGTGTGCTACTACATGGGCCCACTTAGTCTGCAGGGGCTGTTACACGGGGCTCAGGACTCTCCTAGACACTGTATGTAAGGCGGTGATTCAGTCAAAGGTTGGCAGAGTCCATGGCAATGTCAAAGGTCAGCTAGCCGTGGATCCAGTTAATGGTTAGTTCAGTTCAATGTCATCCAATGTCAATTGTCATTCAGTCAAAGGTCAAAAAGCCCGGAATGGACAGTCAGGTCAGCTCAGATGGAAATTCAGTCAGTCAACGCGTCGGTCAGTAGGGATCGGTTGATTCCAAGGGAGTACTGGGAAGAAAGGGCCTCGGTGAGCGATAGATGTCCGTCAGTGGATTAGTCGTCAGTCAGTCACCAGTTGGGTCCGTCAGTCGGTCAGCGATTCTATGAAGAAAAAAAAAACGCTCGAGCCAGGCAGTGGTCGTCTAACTTAACGGCCACTGGATGCCTCAGTCGGTCAGAATCGTCTCGTCAGGCAAAGAATGCCTTAGTGACAGTAGTCAGTCCCAGAAAACGACCTTATGCGGCCATGCTCGTCAAAGAAATGATTGGTTCAGTGTTTCAGTCAGTTTTAACCTCAGTCATTCAGTCCGGTATCTAGGAGAGCCCTATTGCAGTACCCTTGCAGGACCAGGTTCCCCGAGGCGGCGGCACCCTCTAGACCGGGACAGGAACGTCTGTGCGGCCGACGCCGCTCCTATCGCCCTCAGAATATCCACTATGCACTCTATCGGGAACGACAGAACGAGAGGCGAAACGGCGACAACAATTACACAAAGCTTAGGATAAAGATGGATCTATCAGCTAAGAATGAACACTCGGATGCATGAAATGTGCTGAACTGCTGAGTGCTTTTAAAGGACTGCTTCATGAAATGAAGTGTTTCCGTCTAAAATGAGCTGCTGAAGTGTCGTGTATACCCGCCGTTTGGCCTGTCGAGTCCGTGTTCCCGGCTTACCCGCTCACCCCGTCTGCCGAGCGGGTCGGTACTGGCCCGTGGGGACGGCAGGGTTCTCTGAGGCCCCGCCGCGCCCGGAGCTCCGCCCGACCACGGTACCGCCGCTCGGCTATCACAACAGACTCCCGCTGTCCGTCCTCGGCACTGGCGCCCCGCTCAGAACACCACGTGCAGCCGCTGTCGGATGTAGCCGACCATGTTCCAGTGGCGAGTCGGCACCAGGCCCTGCATGGAGCGGCCATGGACGGAGGGCCCGCCATGGAGCCGGCCAGGGACGGAGGGCCCGCCATGGACCCGGCCATGGACGCAGGGCCCACCATGGACCCCGCCAGAGACGGCGGGCCGGTCATGGGCGCGCCCAGCGGCCCAGGCCGGCAGACGGGCTCGCAGTGCTTGGCCCGCGGCCGGTGACGGCACAGGAAGCCAGCTACTATCGCCGCGACAGCCGCGGCCACGGCGAGGAGCGCGAACAGCGCCGCGAAGCCGGCCGCCGGCAGGCAGACGCCGGGCCGGGCTGAGACGATCCGTCCCTGTAGGATAGGGGTGCTGCGCTCTGCTCCAGTGGCGCTGCCGGACGCCTCCTGGAGGTCGTTGATGGAGAGCACCTCCAGTGTGGAGGTCACACCGACGTCTGTGGACCGGCCAGAGTCGCCCACCACGTACCGGCGGCGGCGCACGTGCAGACTGCGCGGGCCCCACGGGAACTTGGTGCGGTCCGTGCCGACGCTGCCCAGTCCGGCGTCCGAGGGCTCCTTGTCGGAGTCGTCAGTGGCGGGAGCCCCGGAGGAGAGGGAGGGTACGGCAGCTGAGCCAGCGGCGGGGTCGGCGCCCGTCTGCGCGGCCGCCACTGGGATATCGTTGGGGTCGGGCAGCTCTTCCGTCTCCTCCGTGTCCGATCGGCTGATGGTGGCCTTCCCACCGACCAGCTCTCGCAGCTTCTGCGCCAGGCCGCCGAAGTCGAACCGCTGGCTGAGCGGTTTGCGTGTCGGTGGGACCGCCTGGCGGGTGATGAGGTTCGCAGAGGACGCCACCTGTTCCCCGTCCTCAGCGGAGGCGGGCTCGGGAGTTGAGGTCGTGGTGGGGGCCGGAGCCGGGGTGTCCTCGGTCAGGTACTGCAGCTTCTCCCCAGGTCCACCCTCTCGGCTGCGGTCTGGGATCCGGCAGTCCTCGGGTCGGGCAGTCCGGCCACGCTCACCTGGTCCCTCTCACTGCCCGGCCAGCAGCGGGTGTCCTCCATACCCCCCGGCCGGGGCCGGCCTCTGGCAGTGGCGCGGACAGCCGTGTCGGCAGATCTCCACCTTACAGCGCAGGTGCACGTACATGCTGTCGGGGAACTTGAAGGCGTGGAAGTGGGCGTAGGTGAGCACGGAGGCGCGTCCGTCGCTGCTCCGCTGCTTCTGGAACTTGCTGAGCATCTTGGGCCGGAGGACACAGCCGTACTCGTCAGAGAGGAAGATGGGCAGACTCTTACCGTCCGAGGCCTCGCAGCTCTTGACGCGCATGTCGAACTCGGCTGGAACAGTCGAAGGAAAAACATAACAAGTCAGTACACGTTCGATAAGCATCGACAAACATCCCTCCCATGTGGCTCTATGATCCACATTACAAGCCTATTTGCGAGCAAATCATAAGCATTTCTCAGCATCCCTGTGCGCAATATCCATATATCTTTCATCTATCGTATCTGTATTGATCCTCAGGAGCTGGATTAGTTCTCTAGCTTATAAAGTCAAACCTGATTTACCCAGGCTGTTTTCAGCAAGAGATCTCACAAACTTGTCATAATCACCACCAACCCTGTGTGTCTCCGCCGTTCAATGTCTCACCGTTGGGGTCGTTGATCGCCACCACCATGGTCAGGGTGGAGCCGATGGGCACAATCCCGGTCACCGGGCTGGCCCAGGGCCCCTTGCCGTCCTGGATTTCCATCCAGCAGTCCACGTTATCGCCTGGAACGGGACGCGCCGGTCAGACGGTCAGAGATGGGGCTGATTGAGAGACAACAACAAACAGCTTTCTGACATTCCCCGCTGATTGGCTAGAGCGGGACTAATGTGCTTGGAGGGGACAGAGACATCCCTTCCGAATAACAGAAATAATTGCGTTCGATGCTAATAACAAAGTTTCAAATAACTGACAATCCGGGGGAACAAAAAACACGTCCTGAATCGTTGAAACCAGTTCTACATAGAACCACTGATATCGTCGGCATGGATTATCATGTCAACTACGATCTATATCAAAGAGATTTCTAAATATTCACGGCAGTAAAACCACAAGTCGCACTGGTATGCGGTACAATCCTCGAGTACGAGCCTAAAAACTTGTCTAAGAGCGGCGCGTATGTCGCGTCAATTCGTGCCAACTACATGCCCCTGTCGGCGCTGCTAGGAGAGTCACGGCTGATGTTCCAGAATGTGGTCACATAGCTCTCTGATGAAGAGACATTGTCCCTAATCTGGCCCATAAAACAGCCGTCTACCGAGGTGAAAACGGCCCGTCCGTCCGTCCGGCCGGCCTCCAGACCGGTGAATAGGTCACGCTCATTGAGTCGCGCCGCCCGTCCGAGGCTAATCCCGATCGTAAACGCTCTATGGTGAGCCGATCGGCCGCGTACGGCTACTGTTTGACACACTGAGAGGCCGCCCGGTCGGAGATATCCCCGGAGAGCTGATACGAGCTCACAGCGGCGGTAAGGACAGAGAGCTCCGACCGGACCAGACCCCGGGTCAGTACACAGGCGGTAGGGAGGGCCTGTCTCGGGGGACCCACCTCGGAAGTTGAGCTCGATGACCTCGAGGTCAGCCATGACCACCGGAGGCTTGGTGGCCGTCCTCTCGTAGTCGTTGTACCACTCGCAGCGGAGGCGCTTCGCCTCGTCCCAGACCTGGCGGAAAGAGAGGGCAGAGGTCAATAACAGAGCCCAGAGGAGAGGTCAGATAACTTCACATCGGGTCAGATATCCCAGATGTCGATCCGTTTACGTTCTCCCGACAGCTCACGCGTTTTGATTGGCACTTTGCGTATTATCTTTTTATTTTACACGATTTATTTTGGGTAGCTTGTAAAAAATAGCATAATATCTGGTTTACGTAAAACGCATCCACATAGGTACCTAATTTAACTTTTCCGCAATTCCTGGACCTGAAACGACTCGGTCGGCGATTCCAACCCAAATCAGCCTGTCTCACCTCAATGAGTTCGTTGTCGTACTGGACGATGATTGTGTTCTCGTAGAACTTTCCGTTCAGGTCCGGCTTCGTGCCGCACTTGTTGAAGTAGATGTCGAACGTATACGCTCCCAGTGATGTGTAGGGTTTAACGTAGACGCAGTTCGGACTGTTGAACTGACCCTTGGAGAATACCAAACCCTGGGAAAGACAAATAACGGAAACAATGTCATACGAGCTATGAGCTATGAGGCTGATTTGAGGACACCAGGAACCGGTAGCAAAATGTAGGTGAGCATTTGTATACATACTTTCGACGATCAATTCTGACCCGCCCAACATGGTTACCTCGTGAGCAAATACGGCTCCATTGACTATTTTAGCGAGCTACCGAATGCATGACGAGGAATAATTCATACGCAGCGTGAGTCGGACAGGGCGGGTGGTGACTCTCTCCCGGAGGTAGGTATGTCCCACGCTCGGATATGCGGGCCGGCGCTCGCCCCCGCGGCCGGCGCGCACCGTGTGTGTGTGTCTGTGTGTGAGTCGGAGTGTGCAGGCATGCGGCGCGCCCGGCGCTCGGCTGACCCAGCGTGGCCCGCCGCCGCCGCCGCGGACGAAATGGGTCAGTGGCGCGGCCCGGCCGAGGAGCCGTCCGCACCGCTCCCAGCGCGGCGCAGCTGCGACCGACCGACGGCGGCGGCGGCGGCAGACGGCACCCAGACAGTCATCAGGACAGCGGACACTGGTCAGCAGGACATGCAGTGGACACTGGTCAGCGGGACAGACAGCGGACACTGGTCAGCAGGACAGCGGACACTGGTCAGCAGGACAGACAGCGGACACTGGTCAGCAGGACAGCGGAAACAAACACTGGTGTTAGCGCTGCTAGCACAGCACTACAACTTACAACGTTTGAGAAGCTGAGCTTTGGAAATTCCGAACGAAAAACGAAGAAAACGAACGGAAACGATCGAGCTTCCCATCGAATTGAAATACCGAATTCGTACGAAGGATCGAACATAAACTGAATATGTCATTAAACGGTTTTCAAAACGTTTTCAACTCTGGAAATATCACCGAGAAATGGTCACGTGAATGAGAGTTCAGATAACTCAAAATTTGTTTCATGTTTTTATTTGCTTTTACTTGTTCGATAGATATGGTCGTTTTTTGAATTGATTTGACTTTGTTTTAGTTCATGTTACCTGTCTAGGCGACTTCTGTTACTATTAAAACCAGTATCCAAATATATTGCGTTTTCATTTCAGATGTTCTTTTTGTTATTGTTGGCCTACGGCGGTAACAGTTTTAATAGTAACATTGTACAGATAACAGTTCAGTAACCCTTCGTTTATCGAGATACCTTAACCATGGAACATTTGTGCCTGGCCGATCGTGCTAAATTAGACCAGAAGATCATGGAAGCCCTTTCAGAAATTCTTGAAAATTCAGACGTACTTTGTGATGAAGTTTTGCCTGGCGACAGTGCATCACAAACGTCATCGAAATACCACTGTAGCACTCCCGTATCTCAATCTGGGAAGAAATTGTGCTCGTCTGTCATCGAAGAAGCTAGAACAGCAGGTCTGGAAGCAAGATCAGAGTTGACGAAAAAAGAAATGCATTGCAAAAGCAGATAAGTGAACGGGAAATGGAACTGTCAGAATTAAATCTTGAGATGCAAATTCAACAATCCAAAGCTGAACAGGCAGTCTTTACAAAATATGAAAGTAGCCCCAAACCATTGTTAACGAATCGAAAATGCGAAACAAGCGACGTAACCGACCAGAGCGAGCCGGCTGTTTGGAGTGTCAGTGAAGGCGGGCTCCCAGCTCCGCCTCCTCGGCGTGACCTTCGACCGTCTCCTCCATTTTGGACCACACTGCACCGACCTCCGCCGCAGGGTCAGACCAAGGACCGCCCAGCTGAAGAAGCTGACCGGCCGATCGTGGGGCCTCGGCGAACAACAACTACGAACCGTCGCCAACGGCTACGTCCGCGGTGCGCTGGAGTACGCCGCGGCTGCGTGGCTGCCGGCGGCATCGCCCTCGCACGTCGAGCTGATCGATCGGGAGCTGCGCGCGGCCGCGCGGGCAGTGACCGGATGCACGGCATCTACTCCGGTGCACGCCCTGATGTCCGAGGCCGGCATGACAGATGCTTGGTCCAGGAGACAGGCACTGGCAGCGAGAATGGTGGGACTCGCGGCGTCCCTCCCCGAGGGAGACCCGCTGAGGTCGGTCGGGGAGGCGGTCGTCCCTCGACGACTCAAGACCACAGGATGGCGCGAGGTGGGCGCCGCCGCGCTCGCGGCGGCCGACGCGCAAGACATACCCGTCGAGGCCCGCCTCCACCACACCCTGCCGCCGTGGGCCGACAACTCTACCGTCCACTTCCACCTGGACCTCGGCCCGCGGGCCAGACGTGCGGCCCCGGAAGACGTTCGGCGTGCCGCAGCTGAAGAGCGTATCCGGGAGCTACCTGAGGAAGCCGTCTGGATATGGTCGGACGGATCGGCGGAGGACGGCGTCGCCAATGGCGGGGGCGGCGCCCTGATCCGCACCCCAACCGAAGATGACTGGGAGCTGAGGGTCCCTGCTGGCCGCCTGTGCTCCAGCACGCGCGCGGAGCTCGCCGCGCTGCTGGCAGCGCTGGAGGCAGTCGCTGAACTGCCGAGAAGCGCGGGCCTGCCGGTGGTCGCCTGCCTGGACTCCAGGGCGGCCCTGCTAACGCTGGCTGCAGGCGCCTCGGCCCAGACCACAACACTGGGTGCCAGTGTGTGGACCCAACTGCTGCGCCTACAAGCAAGCAACAGCTCAATTCACCTCCAATGGGTACCGGCTCACTGCGGGCTCCCGGGTAATGAGAGGGCGGACGCATTAGCGAAGGAGGCGGCCGGGATGTCCCAGCGGACGACGCCGGTCGACGCCCGCACCCTCACGCGGGCTGCTGCGCGGGTCGCCGGCAGGGAGTGGCGAGCGAGCCGGCCTGCGGGCTGGTACCGAGACGTCATGGCGGACCGCGCCCCCGACCCGGTCCGAGCCGCTACCAGGGAGGAGGCCGTCGACATACATCAACTCCGATCGGGACACTGGGGACGGTCGGAACAATATCTCCACCGCATTGGGCGCAGACCGACACCCGAGTGCGCTCAGTGCAACGACATCACATGCCCGGCGGGCCGTTGTCTCGTCTGTGGCGAGGCCGCGGACACCCCGGCGCACGTACTACTGGAGTGCCCGTGCCTGTTCGGCCCCCGCCTCCAAGCGCTGGGTAACATCACAGGCACGGCCCGAGACGTACAGCGCGACGACGTGGTGGCGGCCTTGGCCGCCGGCTACGCGGCCCACAAGAGCCGCGTGGCTCCGTCACCGCCTCGGCGGTGACCGGGAGGAATAACAACAACAACAACAGCCGGCTGTTTCGAATCCTAAGCCCCATACGAAAGTACCCCAGATGAATGATCCCTGCGAAGTGTTCAGACGGATGCATCTACCAAAACTGAATATGGACACTTTCGATGGTGATGTAATGAAATATGGAAGTTTTTTGAGACAGTTTGAAAGCAACATAGCGTCGAAGACTGATGTTGATGATGAAAGATTGTACTACTTGGAGCAACTTACCACTGGGAAGCCAAATGACATCGTCAAAACATGCCTGCATCTGCCACCGGATGAAGGTTACATGGAGGCGCGTCGCCTTTTGGATAAGAGGTATGGTGATAAAACAAAGGTGGTTTCATCGCTGGTCGCTACAATTATTAATTGGCCTATCATTCAATCTGATGACGTAAATGGGTTAGACGAATTTGCTATATTCTTGAGAGGGTGTCTCAACTCGCTAAAAAGCATTCCCCATGGCATGGCAGAGGTGGACGCTAGCACCATACGACATATTCTACGGCGGTTTCCTATCGACATTGCTGATAAATGGCGTGATGTTGCGGATTTTATAGAAGAAACACAGAGTAGAATCCCAAATTTCGAAGATTTTGTGCTATTTATTGAAAAAATGGCGAGAATAGCGGGAAATCACTGGTATGGGAAACATTTATTTCTTCCGCCATCATGTCCATCGTCCAGCTATTATTGTGACAGCAATGTGCCATCAAAGATCCCTAAGACGTCTGCGGGCAGTTCATCACCAAGCATGCACTGCGTATTTTGCAATAAGGCGCATGACATCGCTGATTGCAGCGCACTGGGTGATCGTCCTACTCAAGAAAAACAACGATTTGTAATGCAACATGGCCTATGCTATGGTTGTTTGCAGCGCGGACATATGTCAGCCACATGCGCGCAAAGGAAGACGTGTCGCATTTGTAACAGACGACATCCCACATCCTTGCATAGAAAAGAAGCCGGGGCCAAGAGGGATGAAGCGATGTCGCTGCACACTTGTTCTACTTCCGTGTCGGTGCATGGTTCCAAATTACATGTTGTTCCACTGTTGGTAACTTTAGGAGGGAAGACTGTAAAAACCAATGCCTTTTTGGATTCTGGATCCACACATTCATTTTGCTCGCATCAACTTCTAGATCAGCTAGGCTGCAATCCGACAGAATCAACGACAATGACCTTGTCTACAGTACAACAGCGAACTCAGTTGACAAGTTATGTGATTAGAGGGATGGTGGCTAAAGATATATACGATCACAACTGCCTAGCATTGCCACCTTTGTTGACATTAAAAAATATTCCCGTCAGTTCGAACGATGTTCCCACGAGCACTGCCAGCCTGCATTATTTACATGAAGCAGGGGTAGAAATAGCTCCAGTAGAAGGGGAAATAGGGCTGTTGCTGGGAAGCAATGCTGCTCTAGCAATGGAACCACTTCAAGTTGTCAACAGTCGAAATGGTGGGCCATTTGCCATTAAGACTAGATTCGGCTGGATTCTCAGTGGAATTGGACATGGAACAGGTCCGAGTGTTAACAGTTTGTGGGTGTCCCAGGAATGGGATAACATTATTGACAACTTAGCGACAGAAGAGAAGGGACTATCTGTCGAAGATAGGATGTGGTGTGTTCAGATCAACAAGTCGTGTACCAGGACTGCTGATGGCAAATATCAAGTAAATTTACCATTAAGAAGTGGAAAACCAGTTCTTCCTAGTAATCGGGTAATGGCCGAGAGAAGATTGGAATCGATAAAGAAAAAATGTATTAAAGACGAATTGTTCTTCAAAAATTACAG